TATGAAGGTTTTGGTGGGGAAGGCAGCAACAAAAAACAACGGAAAAACAGTCCCAGACCACGGCAATCTCCCGGCAGTTACGAAGCGCTGCTTTCTCAAACCCTGCCCGCCTCGATCAGCAGGTCTCCCTCGGGGGGGGGGCGGGTGACGAGTCAAGAGGGTGTGTGTGCCACCGCTCCCCAACCCCCCCCCCCCCCCTCCACGTCTGGCCGACGTGGGAGTGTGGGGCCAAGTGACCCTCTGCGGTGGCTTTTTGTTTAATCTCTCCGTCTCGTATGCGGAGGAGGGCCATCTCGGTGGCACGAGAAAGACGTGGCAGGGCCACGCTTTTTTTTTTGTGTGTTTCACCTTTGCAATAAGCCCGGGGCTTGTAGCACGCGTCAGTGGTTTATTTATTATCGGAGCGGCCGGCATGAAGTGTTCGCGGTACAGTGCGTGGCAGAGGGGAGAGTGCTGGGCCTTGGGGGTGGGGGGCAGCGTGTGTGTGTGTGTGCGCGCGCACGCGTGTGCGAGCGGTAGTGTAGCGGTCAACGCGCGCTGCACTACGAACCCAGCGACCCAGGTTCGATTCCCGCTCACGGCCAACGCCAGCGACGAATATCTGAACCGGTCCTGGGCCTCTTCTGGGTCGACTCGGCGTCAAATCAGTACAAGGCACGGTGTGTGAATATCGCCACTGGGAAGACAAAGGCGGCCGGGCGTGGTGCTGGCCACCCACCCGCTCGTGTGCCGTTCCGGCCTTCATAGGTGCTCGCCAACAGCACTTGCCCCCTACAGTCTGTTAAGGCTTCACGGGGGATCTTTATCTTTGTGATGTCTACAGGCGGCTCCGATACAATAAATAGCCGGGGAATTGGTAAACAGGAAGCGGTGCGGTGTTATTTGACCGGTGGCATGCCTTGGGAATATTTCCATTCGTCTAATTTTAGTGGCTCTGCGCCTCTCCAGGAATGTAAACGCCGCACCTCTTAATGGGGCAGTGACGACGCGACGCTTGAAGTCCACTGACAAACGAGGCCACGGGTTTGCCGTTGCGGGCGGTTCTGACCGAGGTGGGAGCTCGTCCAAACATTTTGTCTGTTTTTCTGTCACGCTGGTGATGGGAGCAGCGGCGGGGGGGGGGGGGGGGGGTGACACGGTGAGCCCGGCAGTCGCGCGTTCGCCGTCCGTTGTAGAGGTTCGCGGTTCGGATCCGGTGGGAACAGGCTCGGTTATTACCGCGCTGTGGTAGCAGTAAGTTTGGATAATAATAATAATGACCTCATTTATTGAAGTGCCTTTCATGTTGAAGTCTCCAAGCGCTGTACGTAAAAATTAAACTACAATCTCAGCGAAATGGAAAGCTGACAATAATCATATTAATGACGACTCTCGAAATTTCAATGAAATGTATAACTCTGATGAAAGCGAATGTAATAATTGCAGAGTAATACAATCGGACAACAGAATTGATTTTTTTTTTAAATCTTAAACTACAGGGAAAAGCCTGCAAGTACAAACAGGTTGAGTTTATAGGTGAATTTTAAGACGGCGATTTAAAAAAGTGACGCAGACTCGGAATCCCTAATGGACCGAGGAAGAGGGATTCCAAAATCACGGAGCCTGACTCCAGGCTTGTCCGTCTCCCGTAAAACAGCAAGAACACCACCAGAGTCTTGCCTTTGGAACGACGAGTAGGCCAGAATCAGCCGATCTACGTTTTTTTCAAAGCAGTTCTATACACAACTGGAGCAGATCGGTGTCGAGATATTTAAAGACCAGCTCCATTCAGGGCATTATTATGTGCGTGAGAAGCAGAATCTCGATCCTGCACTTTACAGGGGAGTGCAGGGACGAAAGAATCGGAGAAGTGATGTGGTTACACGATTTAGATCTGGTGAGAAACCCGGGCAGCTGAGTTTTTTTTTATAATAATATTTTTGTAATCTATTTAAAAACACTTCCAGAAACGCCAGTAAGCAAGGCATTTACAGTAATCCAACCGGGATTAAATAAAGGCATGCATCCAGCCTCTCGGCATCAGGAAGGGACAGCGTGGGGGGCTGAGTCGAGCTAAAAAAACTAGAATTTGTTAATATCACATACGTGAGATTCAAATGTCAAACCGGGGTCTAGGATGACACCCAAGTTTCTGACCTCGGAGGAAGACCAAATGATAGTTCCCGTCTATGGCCGTACTCAAACCATCAAATTTACGTGCTCGATGTGTGGAGAGCCCAACAATATAACCGCTGCTTTATCACAATTTAAAGGAAGTTTAGGGGCAGCCACGACTTGACCTCAGCAAGGCAACTGATACTTTGGTAACAGTCAAGGGTCTGAAGAGAAATCTGTGCGTCACCAGGATCAAAGTGGAAATTTAAGCCCACGACGACGAGATATTTGGCCAAGCGGTAGTTTTATAAACAGGCCGAGCAACGGAGGGCCCAACATTGAGGCCTGAGGAACCCCTCTGAGGACACTAAGCCGTGAGCAGTGATGAACAGCCGTGGATCGAGACGGCCAATTAGCAAGGGTTGTCACGTGAACGAAACGCACCAATTCGTTACTCGTTCAGCACACAGGTGTGTTGGGAGAGTGAACCCACAATTGTAAATTTTGTGGGGGGGGGGGGGTCACTCTGCAACACACCGAATTGGCACGTTTTGCTTACGTGACAAACCCTCACTAAATTGGCTGTGCCACGCGGTGGCCGCTTTAACGACGACATTTAAATTCACGCGATTTAACCCCCCGAAAAAATAATCCCTCTATTGTGCATCAGGTAGCGTTGTCAGTAATAAAGCGACGACGTATTTTGCGAAACGACGTAAAAAAAGGTGGGGGGTTGGGGGGTGGGGAGACGGTAATCTGGGCCCGATTGTGCGCCGCTAGGCGTCACGTGAAATAAAATTTGGGAAATTAGAAAGATTTACACCGCAGCACAGCAACGTCGCCACCTTCCGCCCGTGAAACGTGCAAAACATCTTCCTTCATTTTCAGTTTTAGTTTTTATAGTTTTAGACATGTTGATGATTTTGAGATGGTGGTGCTGGGGACATTGGTGATGATGATGGTGATGACGAAATGATATGGCCGTGGTGGTTGTGAGATGTTGATGATGAGACGGTGTTGCTTAGTCGAAGGCACCTTACAAATAAATGTAAATTATTATTGTTACGTAGCATTATTGCTGCATGTGTGTATGTTAAAATTACTCTGTTGAAATTACAACGTGCATTGCAACATCATCACCCCCTTCCATGAAACAACTGGAAACGTGTAACGCCTTACTTCGGTTTTCAGTTAGTTGTTGACATGTTGATGATTATGAGATGGTGGTACTGGAGACGTTGACAATGATGATGAAATGATGAGGCGGTGGTGTTAGTGAGAAGTTGATGATGAGACGGTGACGCTTCAGTGTTGACGCTGTTTTTGTGTGTGTGTGCACGTTCAACTTCTTTCGCACCGTGCGTAGTCAACCGCCCTCATCGGAGGTGCGAAATATTCGTGATAGCCTCATGCGATAGGAATGATCGCGCAAATGACTAAATGTGCTCATTTTTTATTTGCTATTATTGGTTGGTGAGAGGGGATTTGGGTGGTGGTTACAAAGGTGTTGTTCCTGTGCTGTAAAATCAGTAATTAATTTTGGACCGGGTCTGTTTAGGGTCAGCGATTCGAGGAAATACCCGGCAAACCACATCCAGTATACCTCTCGTCGATACGGCTTTGACTGTGGCTTACTGCTAGTCACGTCCCCACCTACTTTGTGTACATACACTCATTCTTTATTGGCTAAAAACATCTTGATTTATAGGGGACTGCGGAGCTTGGGCAATTGTATGCCACGCTGCTGCCTTCCAGCTTCGTCAGCGGTCCCTGTGCGAGCGTGAACGACCACACTACGCATTAAATTAAAACATTGTTGTACGTATTAATCATAATAATCGTATGCTGTTTATCGTTCAAGTCCCCCATGAACACGTGGCAACGTACGCGTCTATTCGGGCCCTGCCATCGGCAATGCTGCCGCGTCTTTTTGCTGTTTAGTGTGGAGAGCGCGCTTCGAACCCGGCAACACGAGTTCGATTGCCGCTCATGGCCACCAACACCTGTGACGATTATCTGAACTGGTCCCGGGCCTCCCCTAGGTCGACTCGGCCTCAATTGAGTTCATAGTACGACGTGTATGAACATCGCCACCTAGGGAGACAAAGGCGGCCGGGCGTGGTGCTGGCCACGCACCCCCCTCGTGTGCCGCGCCGGCCTTCGTAGGTGCTGCTCGCTAACGGCACTTGCCCCAACAGTCTGTTACAGGCTACACGGGGGGATCTTTGTCTTTGTTGTGTGTGAGGCATGCGGAGGGAGGGGTGAGCTCGGCTCTCGTTGCCGAGTTAATGGAGAGAGAATCTCCCGATGGCTCGCCGAAACCAAAAATAAACTCTGCTGCCCTCTTGGGTCTGTGGGTCCACACCACTTCAGCACAGTCTCCCTCCCAATGTTAGTGCTTATCGGGTGCGTGTGTGTGTGTGTGTGTGCGTGCGTGTGTGTGCGTGCGCGCGTGTGTGCGCGCGCGTGTGTGCGCGCGCGTGTGTGTGCGTGCGTGTGTGTGCGTGCGTGTGTGTGCGTGCGCGCGTGTGTGTGGGCGTGTGTGCGTGCGCGCGTGTGTGTGCCTGTGCGTGCGCGCGTGTGTGTGGGCGTGTGTGCGTGCGCGTGTGTTCGTGCGTGTGTGTGTGCGCGTGTGTTCGCGCGTGTTCGCGCGTGTGTGCGCGTGTGTATGCGCGTGGTGGAACAGCGGTTAGCATATGCGCTATGAACCCGGCGACCCAAGTTCAATTCCCGCTCACAGCCAAAACCAGTGACGATTATTCTGAACCCCTCCTGGCCCTCACGTAGGTCGACTCAGCCTCAAATGAGTACCTGGCGCGATGTGTAAACATCGCCACTGGGGAGACAAAGGCGGTCGGGCGTGGTGTTGGCCACCACCCCTTAGTGTGCTGTGCCGGCCTTCATAGGTGCTCACTAACAGCGATGATCCTGTCCCCCAGGAGGCCGTGCCCGGTGCTCTCCACGCCGTGATTGTCTTCGTGGAACGGGAGCCCGGATTTCGCGTGGAGGAAGCTCTCAACGTGCACGTCAGTAACTCCCCTCCTCGCTCTCACCTCGTGCCGCTGGGCACGGCAGGGTCGCCGGCGACCAGCGCACCGGTGTATACACCCGTGCCTGGCAGAGAATCAGAATCGGAATGTTTATTTGTACTGGAAGAATCTGATGAGCTATAAAGCTATTTTCCCATGGATGTCCAGTAGACAGAGAGGAAGGGTGCCTTGGTTTGTTTCCCATACTGGCTGCCTCTGTGTGAAGTTTGTGTGCTCTCCCAACTGTTCTCTCTGAATGTTTTTTTTCTCCGGGTTTTCCGGTTCCCTCCCATAGCTAATCCTAAAAACCCATACAACGTAGCTGCTATGTATTCTTGGTTCTTTCAGTAAAGTCACGTAGAAGGGAAATAATAAAATAATAAAACAATTAAATTATCACGACGTTTCGATTGCAACACAAGCAAATCATCATCAGTTGTGAAAACCACAGCAAAGAAAATTTTGAAAAAAGTGGCGGTTTTCAAAATTTTCTTGCTGTGGTTTTTCCACAAGACGTCGTGAGAATTATATTGTTTTATTTTTATGATTTCCCTTCTACGTGACTTTACCGAAAGAACCAAGAATATGAATCCCTGCAGTCACGAAAGCTTTAAATCGAAATTTAACGTAACTGCTATTGGCTTTATAAAAAGAAAATCCCCATAAACTTATGCCGTGCAGAGAATCAGAATCAGAATGTTGATTTGTACAGGAGGAATCCCAATGAGCTATATAAGGCTCTTATCATGGGACCTTATTTTGCCCAGTATCAAAGTATGAAAAATAAGAATAGGTACTCTTAATTTCTTTTGGTAAAGCCACGTAGGGAGAAAAAAAATAAAAAAAATCACGACGTTTTTTTTAATTATACAGTAAAAACCTTGGATTGCGAGCATAATTCGTTCCGGAAACGTGTTTTGTCATCCAAAGCACTCGTATATCAAAGCACTCGTATATCAAAGCACTCGTATATCAAAGCACTCGTATATCAAAGCACTCATATATCAAAGCACTCGTATATCAAAGCACTCGTATATCAAAGCACTCGTATATCAAAGCACTAGTATATCAAAGCATTCATATATCAAAGCACTCGTATATCAAAACACTCGTATATCAAAGCACTCGTATATCAAAGCACTCGTATATCAAAGCACTCGTTTAATCAAAGCAATCATATATCAAAGCACTCGTATATCAAAACACTCGTATATCAAAGCACTCGTATATCAAAGCACTCGTATATCAAAGCACTCGTATATCAAAGCACTCGTATATCAAAGCACTCGTATATCAAAGCACTCGCTTATAAAAGCACTCGTATATCAAAGCACTCGTATATCAAAGCACTCGTATATCAAAGCACTCGTATATCAAAGCACTCGTATATCAAAGCACTCGTATATCAAAGCACTCGTATATCAAAGCACTCGTTTAATCAAAGCACTCGTATATCAAAGCACTCGTATATCAAAGCACTCGTATATCAAAGCACTCGTATATCAAAGCACTCGTATATCAAAGCACTCGTATATCAAAGCACTCGAATATCAAAGCACTCGTATATCAAAGCACTCGTATATCAAAGCACTCGTATATCAAAGCACTCGTATATCAAAGCACTCGTATATCAAAGCACTCGAATATCAAAGCACTCGTATATCAAAGCACTCGTATATCAAAGCACTCGTATATCAAAGCACTCGAATATCAAAGCACTCGAATATCAAAGCACTAGTATATCAAAGCACTCGTATATCAAAGCACTCGTATATCAAACCGCTCGTCATATATCAGTGTGTGATCACGTGACGCTCAGCAGTACGAAGCGTCTACACGTACTGCTGCTCGTATTGCAAGACCCTCGCTGGTTTATCAAATTAATATTTATTTTAAAAAAATGTTTTTGCTCGTCTTGCAAAAAAACACACGCAGACCAAGTTGCTCGTAATCCGAGGTTTTACTGTAACTTTAATTTTATTTTTCTAACTACGTGACTTTACCGAAATGAGCAAAGGGTATGGATTCCTGCAGTGACGAGAGCTTCAGATGAATAAGAAAAGGGTTCTACCCTTTCTGGCAATAAAAACAGGAGGTGTTGAGATGTTCGAACACCAAAAATAAACCTTTTGCAAGGAATAAAGTTACTGCATTATCCGCACGCAGTACTTGTGGTGAGCATGCAAACTAAGATGCTCTGATAATTACCGTATTTTCCCGCATATAGCCCGCATACCGCATACGCATATACCCGGCAAAAATAGCGTTTTGTGTAAAACAAATTTCAGATAGCCCGCACCTCCATATACACCGCATGCATTCATATCTTTAACGTCGTTACCGCAGCTTAATGCCATCATATTAATACGACGTTTACATTTGTAATACATTCCACTATCAATTGTTAACATTAAAATCATAACGTGTACAAAGAAAACAAACTAACCGGAAACGAGTGAACTTAAAACAGTAAATAAGTAACAAAAGTAAATATCCAATAAATAAGTAACACATAACTGGTAGATAAGTACAGATTTAGCACTGGTAGATTGCGCATTGCGCAGGCAATAGCGGCACTACGGTAACGCCGTTGCCCCCTCCCCCACCTCTCCCGTCGCCTGTAAACACAGTGCGCCCACTTCAAACATTGTCGTTTCGTTGTACAAACAATTCGAATAATTTAAAACGTGATAACATGTGCAATTTTAGTGCGAGTGGATTATTCAGCAGAGCTTTAGTCAAAGGTAAGTGTTGCACAGTGGATAGTCCTACCATGAACAAATGTAACGAGTTGTGGACATGTCACACGTGTAAACATTTTTTGAGATAGCCCGCACCTCCATATACCCCGCAGGGTCTTGTTTTGTTTGTTAAACGTGGTATTCCCCGCGGGCTATATGCGGGAAAATACGGTAATCAAGTCTGCGTTAACCACGCGTAATTGTGGTGAAGATGCAAACAAAACAAGGCTCTGATAATTATATATGCATTGTCTTTGAAACTGATGATATTGCTGCTCATCCCGAGCTAAAAATGCTCCGATACCTGCGTCGTCTTTGCACTGTTCGCCATTTGGCGTTCTCTGGCCTGACGCTGGTGAGGCTGGGCCATAAAGAAGGCCGTCTCTGGTGTAGGCGCGAGTGTGGGCACCAGACACAGGCTAGGGTGCGCACCTAGCCTGGCACACGCGCCAGCTGTGACGCCCCCGCCACTTGTTGGCGAACGGCGGTTGTTGTCGTCGTCGCCGGCCGTACGATTGCTGTCTTGCTCCTGTCCATCGCGGGCGATGCTTGCAGTACGAGGTGGTGACTTCCTTGCGGTCGTTGCACAAGCACGTGGAGAGCGGCCAGCTGCCCCGTGAGCTCAAGGGCTCCTTCCCGTACAGCCACTCGGACTGGCTGCGTTTCCGCAGGGTGAGGGCTGCTCTCTCTCTCTCTTTCTCTCTCTCTCCCCGTACTTCTCTCTCTCCCATCTCTCTCCCCGTACGGCTCTCTTCTCTTTCCGCGTACTGGCTTTCTCTCTCTCTCTCTTTTTTACGTTCAGAGGAAACAAGAAGATGCTCGGTGTAGTCGGCACTTTGCTCCGTTCATCATTTCGTTTTTTTTGTTTTTTTATGCTTTGCTTTATGTAAACCCCCCCCCTTTTAAATGAAAGACAACAAAATATATTTTTTTCCCTTCTCTCTCATCGCCCCCCCCCCCCCCCCCACCGCGTACATGCGTTTAGAGTATTTGGCTGCTATGCATTTCCACGTGATGATAACCCACTTGGTTGAGTCATCTTTTCTGAAAAGGAGCTACATCGCTCAGTGGGCCTTGCCTGGTAAAATAAAAAATAGTTTTAGCTCATCGTGCCTCGATCCTCTCGCGCGGATCCAGACCCGCACGACTTCGAGCCCTGCTGTAGGCCTTGCTTAGTTTCATTGCAAAGGTTTTATAGTTTAGATCGCGTAAATATAAATGTGTCGTGAACCCATCACCACCCGACACAGCCAAATTAGTAAGGTTTGTCACGTAAACAGAACCGCGCCATTTAGTTACTACTTCGGCACACCAGTTGTGTGGTGGAGAGTAAAACCACAACATTTACAGTGGGTTTACTCTCCAACACACCGGTGTGCTGAAAAAGCATTTCTCAAGAAAATGAGTTTGTCAATCTATGATGATGATGATGGAAAAGTGCATAGCTCCAGTAGCTTCCTAATATCGTCAGGAAGAGCGTTCCAGACGGCCGTAGAAGCGCATCTGAACGCGCGCGAAGCGGTGACCGTCTTTGTAAACACGACCTGCAAAAAACTCGATAGCGAGAACACGCAGCAGCAGCAACATTGCATGTTCCTGAATAAGAGTCTTGAGATTTGGATAAACGAGTGGAGTAACAACAACAAAAACCACGATAATAATAAAGGATGCATTAACCCGGCTTTTGGGGGTGGGGGGGGGGGGTGGTCAACGTGTTTCCTTGCAGAGGCTGGAACCCTTCGTGCGCGACTGCGAAGAGGCGACGCAGTTCCTGCACAGCTCCGTGGAGGCGCTCCGCTCCGCTCCAGCGCCACAGTCCGAGGAGGTTTGCGCGCCCGACGCTCGCCCCACTCGCCCGCCCCGCTCGCTCGCCCCGCTCGCCCGCCCCGCTCGCTCGCCCCGCTCGCCCGCCCCGCTCGCTCGTCCCACTCGCCCGCCCCACTCGCTCGCTCACCCCACTCGCTCGCCCCACTCGCTCGCCCCCCTCGCTCGCCCCACTCGCTCGCTCGCCCCACTCGCTCGCCCCACTCGCTCGCCGTCAATATTTTATCGGTTAATATTTTACCGGTTCTTTTTTTATCGGTTCTTTTTCTATGGGTTCTTTTTTTATCGGTTCATATTTTCGTAATTCGGTAACGGACGCGAACGGGGAAAAAGTTCCGGCGTAAAAAAAAAAAATCGGCCGTGCGAGCCGCAGTGCCACCCCCCCCCTCCCCCGCTGTTCCCCACCACCACCGCCCCCCCCCCCCCCCCCCCCACCACCACCACCACCCCCCCCCACACCACCACCACCCCCCCCCCCCACCACCACTCACCACCTCTCGCCGGGTCTTCCCCACCCGCCTCCCGGCGTGCGGCGCAGGAGGCGGCGGCCGAGCGGGAGAGGCAGGGCCGCATGATGCGCGCGGCGCTGCAGGACGAGCGTCTCGTCGGCCTGCAGCTGGAGGGCGGCGCCACGCTGGCGCGCCTGCGCAAGGAGAGCACCGGCGCCACCGCCTCGCCCGACTGCAGGTGGGGGGAGGGGGAGGCTCTGCCTGCCGTCCGCTGTGTTGTGCTACCTGCACTCTCTTGTTACCTGGTACCAGCTGTACTACCTGCACCCACTGTGTTAGCACCAGGGACTGGGTCTACCTGCACCCACTGTGTTAGAACCAGGGACTGGGTCTACCTGCAACCCACTGTGTTAGAACCAGGGACTGGGTCTACCTGCACCCACTGTGTTAGAACCAGGGACTGGGTCTACCTGCACCCACTGTGTTAGAACCAGGGACTGGGTCTACCTGCAACCCACTGTGTTAGAACCAGGGACTGGGTCTACCTGCACCCACTGTGTTAGAACCAGGGACTGGGTCTACCTGCACCCACTGTGTTAGAACCAGGGACTGGGTCTACCTGCACCCATTGTGTTAGACCCAGGGACTTGGTCTACCTGCACCCACTGTGTTAGAACCAGGGACTGTTTCTACCTGCACCCACTGTGTTAGAACCAGGGACTGGGTCTGCCTGCACCCACTGTGTTAGAACCAGGGACTGGGTCTACCTGCGCCCACTGTGTTAGAACCAGGGACTGGGTCTACCTGCACCCACTGTGTTAGAACCAGGGACTGGGTCTACCTGCACTCACTGTGTTAGAACCAGCGACTGGGTTTACCTGCACCCACAGGAAAGCCTCACTAAATCTCACGACGCTTGGGGGGCGACCATTGGTAAGTGGATTACAACCGAGTCATTTGCGGTGCAATTTTACAAACGTGGCAACAATGTTGACTGTGACACCGGTAACCACAACTGCCTCACTCTTGCCAACGATGCCAGGGGGATCTTTAACTTCTGTCGTGAATCCGATGGCGTGTAGTGTTTTCACCGTTAATGGCAGTCAACCCACCGCAGCATTAACCAGGGCGGCCTGCCGGACTCGAACCGTGAACCTCTGCAACAGGTGGCAAACAGGGGCGCCACGGTGGCTAGGAGATGTTAACTGCCTCGCCTGGTATACAGGAGGTCGTGGGTTTGATCCAGACCCTGACCCCTGCTGTATATTTGCAGGGGTCAGGGTCTCTCTATCTCCCCGTGGTGGTCACGTGGATTTTTGTCCGGGTCCTCTGATTTTTTTCCATCCACGTGTTTTGAAATAACATGCGTTTAGAGTATTCGCTTGCTGTTAGAAATTTCCAAGCGACGATGATACGCCACCTTTGTCACTAGTCACAGATCCCCTTCTGAAAACAGCTGTTATAGTAGCTCAGTTGGGGGCCTTACCTGGTTTAAAAAAAATGTTGTTTAAACGCGCCTTTGCTGTGCAATGGTGACTTCGCAATCCAGCGGCCACCGGTTCCATCTCCATGCCTTCCGTCCGCCCTGGAGTATGAATGCGAGTGCCACGGTTAGTCTATGGTCGGCAGGTCCCTCGTGGTGGGGTGAAGAGTAGGCCAAAGTTCCCTCTAGAAAGAGCTCTGCAGAGCTGCCTCTGGTGGAGGAGGCCCTTCCGCCAGCAGTGGCGTAAGAGCGAGCAGTTGCAGGGGCTTCGCCTTTACCTTCTGCTGTGCAACTACGCTGGCGAGATTGAATACAGATAGCCCCCGACTTACGACGGTCCCCGACTTACGACGGTTCCCGACTTACGATATTTCGATCTTACGATGGCGATAGCGATACGACAAAATTGTTAAATATATTACATTTCGCGCGTGCAGGCAAACGCAGCAGCGTACTACGAGGTACGATGCTGTACGTTGTTTTTTTTATATATATAGCAGATAGGATTGTTTCCTGAAAAAAAACTTTCTATGAAATTGCAGGTCATATAGGTAGGCTAAGAATTTACCTTGTTTTTTTTTACTTTACATTTTACTGTGCAATACAGTATTGTAATTCATAAATACACACAGTATATAGTTTATACAGTACGGTACTGTAAATTGCTCTGTTTTGCTAAATTATCACCATCTTTTAAGACTCCTGGGTAGGCTAAGGCCATCTTCGACGTACGATATTTTTGACTTACGATGGGGGTTGTCGTAACACATCTCCATCGTAAGTAGAGGACTACCCTGCATTAAAAGATTGCGTTTGAATGAATTTGCATCCCTTTGTTAATCCGCTGCTGGATGAAGACGCATCCTTACCGTCTCAGGCCATCGGGGGTAGTTTGACCGTACTTCACCGCGCCGGTTGGTGTGTGTTGGTGGACGTCTGGGTTGGTGGGAGGGGTTGGGGGGGGGGGGGGTTCTACCCCGATTCCGATCTCACTCTCCACCGATGTTCGACGGGGCTCGGAATCCAACTCGCGTCGCAGGGTTCGCGGACGAGAGCCGAGCGCGATCCACAACGACGCCACGGCTCCACCCTGCGGCCGCACGACGGCGAGCGACGCGGCAGGCGCGGCGTGAGGTTGGGCAGGTGTGGTGGAGCACTTCAGTGTGGTGGTGGAGCACAGCGGCGTGGTGGCAGGGTGTGGTGGAGCACTTCAGTGTGGTGGTGGAGCACAGCGGTGTGGTGGCAGGGTGTGGTGGAGCACTTCAGTGTGGTGGAGCACACCAGTGTGGTTGCAGGGTGTGGTGGAGCACTTCAGTGTGGTGGAGCACACCAGTGTGGTGTCAGGGTGTGGTGGAGCACACCGGTGTGGTGGCAGGGTGTGGTGGAGCACTACAGCGTGGTGGAGCACTTCAGTGTGGTGGAGCACTTCAGTGTGGTGGAGCACACCAGTGTGGTGGCAGGGTGTGGTGGAGCACTACAGCGTGGTGGTGGAGCACACCAGTGTGGTGTCAGGGTGTGGTGGAGCACACCGGTGTCGTTGCAGGGTGTGGTGGAGCACTTCAGCGTGGTGGAGCACTTCAGTGTGGTGGAGCACACCAGCGTTGTGGCAGGGTGTGGTGGGGCACACCAGCGTGGTGGCAGGGTCTGGTGGAGCACACCAGCGTGGTGGTGGAGCACACCAGCGTGGGTGGTAGCGTGTAGCGGGAAGGGTGGGGCGGGTGGAGGCACGCACAAACGGCACTTGGCAGGGAAGCGGGCGATGATTTGCACAGCTGTGCGAGTGCTGGGCCGTGCGCCGCACATAGCACGGCCTGTTCTCACGCGAGGGAAGCACGGTGCCTGCGTGCCACACTCCTCCTCCGCCTCCCCGAGTGCAACCAACGCCCACACCGCTCCGCGAGAGCCACTTCCAGCTCCGCATTCCTCTCGCAGCAGCAGCAGCAGCAGCGCTAGCACCGCACGCGCGCATGTTTACGCAGGGCTCCCGGCTCGCATACCTTCACGTACGCGGGACGGACGTACACACGCGTGTTTCGACTCGGCCTCCAACGAGTGCCTGGTGCGGCGTGTAAACATCGCCGCCGGGGAGGCAAAGGCGGCCGGGCGAGAGGCCGGCCACACCGCCGCCCCCCGCGTTGCTCCGTGTCTTGCCTTCATTAGCCGGTTGGTTGGATTCCCGAGCCGGCCGCCTGTTGTGCGGAGTTTGTTCTCGGTTCCCTGCCGTGGATTGATTTATAAATAAATAAAATCTACGGCGTAGCTGTGGTATTGGGCAAAAAAAAACCATCGCAAAGGCCGAAAGATTACCCCTGAAACTGGAATAAAACACGGCAGCAGCAGCAGCAGAATCCCCTCCACTGTTGACAACGTCTTGGCAGGACCCTCCTGTAAACGAGTCTTCAGACTCAGGCTTTCCTGGTTCAGCAAGTGTAGGAATAATAATAAATCAATGCGTGCATATGCCGCACTGTGGGTTCACATGCCTGCACGCATACAGATGAATGTCCGTGCGTGTGTGTGTGTGACTTAACATTAATGTACGCCAAGTCCAGTTGCAAAGATCCCTCGTGTAGCCTGTAGCAGCCTGTTGGGGCAAGTGCAATTGGCGAGAAGCACCTATGAAGGCCTGCACTGGACACGAGGCGGATGTGTGGCGAGCACCACACCGAGCTGCCTTCGTCTCCTCGATGCCGCTGTTTACAAACCCGCACCAGGTACTAATTTAAGTCTGAGTCAACCTAGAGGAGGCCCAGGACTGGTTCATGGTATTCCTCACTGGTGTAGGCCGTGAGCGGGGATCGAACTCGGGGGGGTTCGGGTTCGTAGCGCAGCTCGCATGTGGCGCGAAAATAAGTTTCAACATCCATAAATACACTCCCACTCCCCAAAACGTATACAAGGACAAACACCCCCTGCATATCCTTAACAGACTGTAGGGGCAAGTGCTGTTAGCGAGAAGCACCTATGAAGGCCGGCACGGCACACGAGGGGGTGGGTGGCCAGCACCACGCCCGGCCGCCTTTGTCTCCCCAGTGGCGATGTTTACTACACACCGCACCCAGGTACTCATTTGAGACCGAGTCGACCTAGGGGAGGCCCAGGACCGGGTTCAGATAATCGTCACCGCGTTGGCCGCGAGCGGGAATCGAACCCGGGTACCGCCGTGATCGTAGCGCGGCACGCTAGCCGCAGCGCTGCCGCTCCCCACAAAACGTGCACGTACACACTTACACACACATGCGCACGCACGTATAAAGTACGCCCTGTTTTCCGAGCCAAGTGAGAGTCCACCGAGACCGCGTGCAAGCGCTCTGTCTTTTTGTCAAGGGAGTCCCGAGCTGCAAAACAATCGGCAAAGAGCGGAGACGGAAACAAGAGTGGGGCCTTGTCAAAGAGAAAGGCACCAATTGACATTTAAAGAAATATTTTACTTCTTCTCCTTGAGTGAGTCTCAAGACTTATTTTTCAGGGTGCGTGGGACATTTCTTCTTATTATTATTATCATTCGGGAATGCTGAACCGAGTCCCAAGACTTTTTTTTTCGTAGAGGGTCCTGCCAAATGTTTTTTTTTTTTTCCGCGGTAGGGAAGCGATGTCGCTGCTGTGCGTGATCTCCTGGTTGAGTCGTCTGCAGGTAGTTTTTCAGCGTTGGCATGTTTTTGGCCAAGAACCAGTGAACATTTTTCTGCGCTGTGGGAGGAAAGATGAGAACCCCGGAGGGAAACCCCACGCAGAGCCAGGGGGAGAGAATACAAACACCGCACACTCTCAAACTCCGCCCACTCGCACGCACTGGCTCACACGCACTCACGCACACTCTGAAGAACGTGCCAAAGACAAAGATCCCCCGTGTAGCCTGTAACAGACTGTTGGGGCAAGTGCTGTTAGCGAGCACCTATGAAGGCCGGCACGGCACACGAAGGGGTGGGTGGCCAACACCACGCCCGGCCGCCTTTGTCTCCCCTTTTGTGATTTTTACACACCGCACCGGGTACTCATTTGAGGTTGAGTCGGCCTAGGGGAGGCCCAGGACCGGTTCAGAATATCGTCACTGGTGTTGGCCGTAAGTTGGAATCGAACTCGGGTCGCCGGGTTCGTAGTGCACCATGCTACACTACCGCTCCACACTTGGAGAACATATCGAAGTGGCGGTGACGTCACCACGGCTTTGTGCCAGGCCAGGTGCACTCCGAGGCCACGCGAAGTGTCGAAGGCTCGCTGACAGGAAGTCACGTGACAGACCCAGCAGGTGCCATGTATTGACTGCCCGAGATGAGTTGACAGCTGTGCTCCCCCCCCCCTTACTGTGCCAACTTTTGCTGCGTTTTATCCGCCCGGCGCTCCGGGGTGGTGGCTGGGCACTCGCGCGGCGAGCCTCTGCCACAGGCGGCAAAACGCACCACCACTGGGCCACCGCGACAGCGGCGACGATGGCGGCAAGCAGCGCGCTCGCACGTTCGCGAACGGACGAGCACGTATGCGGCGGTAAATGCTAAGTGGACCGCCACGCGTTCTGCCCTCTGCGCCACCCCCCCCCCCCCCCCCAGAGACGCGGTGGAGAGAGCGACGCGGCTGTACGGGCAGGCGGAGGAGCAGGTGCACAACCTCGTCATGCTGTCCAACGCCTGCGCGCACCGCCTCGACCGCCTGCTGGCGTACTGGCCCTTGCAGAAGAGGGCCGCGCAGGTATGGGCCCTCTTGCGCGTGTGTATCTATAGATCTCTGTGTGAGTCTGTGTGTGTCTATGTGAGTGTATGGTTCTGTACGTGTATCTATAGATCTCTGTGTGAGTCTGTGTGTGTCTATGTGAGTGTATGGTTACTGTACGTGAATCTATAGATCTCTGTGTGAGTCTGTGTGTGTCTATGTGAGTGTATGGTTCTGTACGTGAATCTATAGATCTCTGTGTGAGTCTGTGTGTGTCTATGTGAGTGTATGGTTACTGTACGTGAATCTATAGATCTCTGTGTGAGTCTGTGTGTGTCTATGTGAGTGTATGGTTCTGTACGTGAATCTATAGATCTCTGTGTGAGTCTGTGTGTGTGTCTATGTGAGTGTATGGTTACTGTACGTGAATCTATAGATCTCTGTGTGAGTCTGTGTGTGTCTATGTGAGTGTATGGTTACTGTACGTGAATCTATAGATCTCTGTGTGAGTCTGTGTGTGTCTATGTGAGTGTATGGTTCTGTACGTGAATCTATAGATCTCTGTGTGAGTCTGTGTGTGTCTATGTGAGTGTATGGTTACTGTACGTGAATCTATAGATCTCTGTGTGAGTCTGTGTGTGTCTATGTGAGTGTATGGTTCTGTACGTGAATCTATAGATCTCTGTGTGAGTCTGTGTGTGTGTCTATGTGAGTGTATGGTTACTGTACGTGAATCTATAGATCTCTGTGTGAGTCTGTGTGTGTCTATGTGAGTGTATGGTTACTGTACGTGAATCTATAGATCTCTGTGTGAGTCTGTGTGTGTCTATGTGAGTGTATGGTTCTGTACGTGAATCTATAGATTTCTGTGTGAGTCTGTGTGTGTCTATGTGAGTGTATGGTTACTGTACGTGAATCTATAGATCTCTGTGTGAGTCTGTGTGTGTCTATGTGAGTGTATGGTTACTGTACGTGAATCTATAGATCTCTGTGTGAGTATGGGTGTCTATGCGAGTCTATGGTGTGGATCTATAGAGACGTGTGTGAAAGACCTGGGCAAAGTCCCATCGGTGAGCTCCTCTGGCAGGCAAGGCTGCGTTGGCTGGGTCATGTAGCCCGCATGCCCAGCCACCGCATGCCTAAACAGCTTTTGTTCGGCCGGATCAAGGGGGCTAAACGGGCGTGGCACGGGCTAGAAAAGAGATGGAGTGATGTGGTACAGGAGGACGTGGAGGAGGCTCATGAAGGACGCTACTGGGCAGTTGGAGGCAGTCGCCCTCCAACAACAACGGAGGGTGGCTAAAGCGCAGCAAGTTGGCACAGGAGGGGGCACAGGTGGTGCATCAGCCAGTCATCTCACTCATCTCAGTCAGTCGACCCGTGGCACCTGGGTCTGCCCCGTGACCTCCTGCCAGCGGATTTTCGACACTTCACGTGGCCTCAAGGTGCACATGGCCTGGCACAAGCATCGTGGTGACGTCACCGCCACTTAGTGGCGAATGGCGGTTGTTGTTGTTGTTGTCTATGTGAGTGTATGTATGGTTCTGTACGTGAATCTATAGATCTCTGTGAGTCTATGGGTGTCTATGTGAGTGTGGTTCTGTATGTGAATCTATAGATCTGTGTGGGTTTATGGGTATCTGTGAGTGTATGGTTCTGTATATGAATCGATAGATCTGTGTCTATGGGTCTCTATGCGAGTGGTTCTGTATGTGAGTCTATAGATCTCTGTGAGTCTATGGGTGTCTATGTGAGTGTATGGCTCTGTATGTGAATCTATAGATCTGTGTGATGTGAGTCTATGGTTCTGTATGTGAGTCTATTGATCTCCGTGTGAGTCCATGGGCCTCTGTGTGAGTCATTGGTTCTGAATGAGGCGGCCATTGCGTGCCAACGTCGTGGTCCAAATTCGAAAAATTGCACCGCTGGGGATTGGCGTGGCAATCATCGCCCCCTACTGCGAAAACTTGGCGGGACCCTCCTGGAAAAAGAATCATGAAGACTTGGTGAGGCTCTCTGGGGTAAGCAAAGTGTCGTCGTAATATTCTATGGTTCTTTCGGTAAAGTCACGTAACCAAAATAAAGTGAATACAAATATCACGACGTTTCGATCGCAACACAAGCGGCCCTCATAAGGAACAGGGAGGTTAGTCTCTGAGGGCAAACTGTTTATAAAGGTTTAGAGATGGGCGAGGCAGCTAATGTTAATGTAGGAAAGGGCTCCGACACCAACAGTAGGTCTACACCAATCAGAGAGCTGTTTATAGAGGTTTTAGAGATGGGCGGGGCAGCTAACGTTAATGTAGGAGAGGTCTCTGACACCGGCAGTAGGTCTACACCAATCAAAGAGCTGTTTATAAAGTTTTAGAGATGGGCGGGGCAGCTAATGTTAATGTAGGAGAGGTCTCCGACACCGGCAGTAGGTCTACACCAATCAGATTTATAAAGGTTTTAGAGATGGGCGGGGCAGCTAATGTTAATGTAGGAGAGGGCTCCGACACGGGCAGTAGGTCTACACCAATTAGAGAGCTGTTTATAAAGGTTTTAGAGATGGGCGGGGCAGCTAATGTTAATGTAGGAGAGGTCTCGACACCGGCAGTAGGTCTACACCAATCATAGAGCTGTTTATAAATGTTTAGAGGTGGCCGGGCCAGCTAATGTTAATGGAGGAGAAGGCTCCGACACCGGTAGTAGGTCTACACCAATCAGAGAGCTGCTTGTAAAGGTTTAGAGATGGGCGGGGCAGCTAATGTTAATGTAGGAGAGGTCTCCGACACCGGCAGTAGGTCTACACCAATCAGATTTATAAAGGTTTTAGAGATGGGCGGGGCAGCTCATGTTAATGTAGGAGAGGGCTCCGACACCAGCAGTAGGTCTACACCAATCAGAGAGCTGTTTATAGAGGTTTTAGAGATGGGCGGGGCAGCTAACGTTAATGTAGGAGAGGTCTCCTACACCGGCAGTAGGTCTACACCAATCAGAGAGCTGTTTATAAAAGTTTTGGAGATGCGCGGGGCAGCTAATGTTAATGTAGGAGAGGGCTCCGACACCGGCGGTAGGTTTACACCAATCAGAGAGCTGTTTATAAAGGTTTAGAGGTGGGTGGGGCAGCTAATGTTAATGTAGTAGAGGGCTCCGACACCGGCAGTAGGTCTACACCAATCAGAGAGCTGTTTATAAAGGTTTTAGAGATGGGCGGGCAGCTAATGTTAATGTAGGAGAGGGCTCCGACACCGGCAGTAGGTTTACACCAATCAAAGAGCTGTTTATAAAGGTTTAGAGGTGGGCGGGGCAGCTAATGTTAATGTAGGAGAGGTCTCCATAACCTGCAGTAAGTACACCAATCAGAGAGCTGTTTATGAAGGTTTTAGAGATGGGCGGGGCAGCTAATGTTAATGTAGGAGAGGGCTCCGATACCAGCAGTAGGTCTACACCAATCAGAGAGCTGTTTATAAAGGTTTAGAGGTGGGTGGGGCAGCTCATGTTAATGTAGGAGAGGGCTCCGACACCAGCGGTAGGTCTACACCAATCAGAGAGCTGTTTATAAAGGTTTAGAGGTGGGCGGGGCAGCTAATGTTAATGTAGGAGAGGGCTCCGACACCGGCGGTAGGTCTACACCAATCATAGAGCTGTTTATAAAGGTTTAGAGGTGGGCGGGGCAATAGGTCTACACCAATCAAAGCATTGCACCTCGCTCCACACACCCACACTGCTGACGGTGTAGTAGTAATGATAACAATAGTTGGTTTCCATGATGCATTTCGGTTCTCAACAATTGAGTGCATTGCCATTGGTGCTCTCGTTCTCATAGCGACGTTGTCTGCAGGATTTTCATAGTGGGGGAGGCGATGTCGCTGCTGTGTGTGATCCCGATCGAGTAATTTCCGGTGTCGTATTTCGAATTTGTCGCGCCGTGACGCCGGCACACCAACGGCCTCCTCTCTTCGCACGACGTCCCTGGGATCTTTAACGTCCGCAGCGAGCGAAGCGGAACGGCGCGTCGCCGCATCTTGCGGTTAACGCGCGCCGCCAGTAATTGACCAGGGCGGCCTGCCGGGTTCGAACCGTGGCATTAGGGAGAAGGCACTGCCGCCGGGGGCCTCGTCACCGCCACCAATTACATTTCAAATTTGCACTGTGAACGTTCCTCCATCGATGTCACCGTCCACAGGAACCGTCGTTATCCTCCACGTCGTCGTTACCCTCCACGTCATTATCCTCCACGTCGTCGTTACCCTCCACGTCGTTACCCTCCACGTCGTTACCCTCCACGTCGTTACCCTCCACGTCGTTACCCTCCACGTCGTTATCCTCCACGCCGTCGTGACCCTCCACGCCGCCACGTCTTCCTGCAGGGTCGCTCGGTCTCCGTCCCCTGCCCACCTGACCTGCCCCCGTCCTAACCCCACGCTTTCTCGTCCGCATCCGAATTCCATCATCACGCGAACTGCCGGTCATCCTCGCATAGCAGCAGCGGCTTTTGTCTACGAAGCGAAGAGAGACGGTGGTGGTCACCGCGTCGCGCGCGTTCAGATGCGCTTCCCGCGGCCGTCTGGAACGCGCTTCCTGCCGATGCTAGGAAGCCGATGGAGCTGTGCACTTTTAAATCACCGACATTGAAAACGAATTTCTTTAGAAACGCTTTGTGTTTAGATTGTTGTCCTCCGCCCGCACCTGCGATTTGCTCGGTTCGCTACGTACGGTGCGAAAGAAGTTTCACGTACATACGTAGACTGACACAGGGACCCATAGGCTCGCGCAATGACCCATAGACTCACGCAGACACCCATTTCTTTAGAATTACTTTTCTTGATTAGATTGTTGTCCTTCCCCCCCCCCCCCCCCGCAACTACGATTAGCACGGTTGGCCCCAACGTATGGTGCGAAAGAAGTTCAACGCGCTGTTCTGTTTAGAATATTTCTCGTGCCCTTTCCCCGGCGCTTCACGGCGCAAACCGACGGCGGTACATTAAGGGGCAGAAGGGGAGCAACGGGTGCGGTGGAGCGGCTGTCCGCGGGGGAGGTGACGGAATGGATGGAGGGACAGTGGCTGGGAATGGAGCTGCTGTTGCAGGGGTTAGGGAAGGAGGAATAAGGTGGAGTGTGATGGCGAAGGAGGGTGACAGATGGGTGCAACGTGGATGGGAGCCAGCGGGGCACGCGCGTGATGTGATACGATAGATGGACGCTGTTGCTGGGCATGGATGGGGGCAGGTGAAGGGTGGTCGTAGGAAGGAGAGGTCTTGTGTCCGGATAGAGTTGGGCTGATTGAGGAGCGCGGTGGAGGGCTCGGGGTTAGTGATTTGGTTCGACGCACGTGGACATCGCAAACCTCACTCGTCGCCCCCGGGGCTCCGCGTGGCGTTCAGATGCAAAGCTGGCTGGAGCAAGAGGGAGAGGGAGGGCTGCGGAGTACGGACGTTCTCCCGGACTCTCTGGCTTGCCTGCGCACCACTCACCAGGAGTTCCAGAGCTTCTACGCGAGAGCCAAGGTGATCCAGAAACAAACCCCGCGTCACATCGTTGTCGTTGAGCCGCCGTGGCCTGGAGATGTTAACTCCCTCGCCTGGTGTGTAGGAGGTCGTGGGTTCGGTCCCAACCCTGATGCCTGTTGTATATTTGGAGTTTGCGTGCCTCTCCTCGTAGTCGCGTGGATTTTTCTCCCGCGTCCTCCGGTTTTCGCCTCCACATTTAGGATCAACGTGCGTTTAGAGTATTTGGCTGCGATACATTTTCACACGTGATAAGCCGCTTCGTTGAGCTCTCATTTGTGACAGCCTTGTCGTTTCTGAGAAAGAGCTACACGTAGCCCAGTGGACAACATTGACGACGACGATGACGACGATGATGACAACGTTGACGACGATAACGACGACAATGGCGACGATGTTGACGACGTTGACGATGCTGACGACGACCTTGACGACGACGTTGACGACGTTGACAATGACTACGACGTTGACGACGATGACGATGTCGATGACGGTGTCGATGACAACGTTGATGACGTTGACGATGTCGATGACAACGGTCATGACGTTGATGACGTTGACGACGACAACGGTGATGACGTTGATGACGTTGACGACGACAACGGCGACGACCATGACGACGACGATGTTGGTGGCGTGCAGGAGCGCTGCGACGACGCCGCCGATGTCCTGCGGGAGCTGGAGCCATTTGGCGACGCGGAGCCCGGCCTGGAGCAGTGCGCCAGAACCGCGCGGGAGCTGCGGCCGCGCGCCGACGACTTCCGCCGGCGCCTGGAGAGCCGACGGGCCCACGTCCAGCAGGCCGTGCGGCTCTACACCTTCCTGGACAGAGTGAGCGAGGCCCAGGAAGGGATGGACTTGAGCGCGCATGTCGGGTGGCAAGGCCACGTGTGCTGCTTATATCCTGAGTAGCGTGCTTAAATCAGCCTTTGCCCTGTTGGTAACCACCCTACCACACTCCACTGACCTCCCCGCCAGTGTATCGTAAGGATGTGTTGCTTATATGAAGACTGTCCATAAATCCAGCTCCCAGTGTATTTACCCCTTAAACGGTGAGGTTAGGGCCCCTTCTTTGATGTCGTCGCCCCAGTCGCCGACCAGCGGAAGCCAATGACGCTGTGCGTGTGCACGTAGACACGACTAATCCCCTTGTAAATGTATGTGTGTGTAAAGCGTGTGAAGAGCGTGTGTGTGTGTTTGCGTGGGGAGCTGGGGGCATCTACTAGTCTGGTCCATCTGCGAGACTTCGACAATTCACGTGGCCTCAAAGTGCGCATGGCCTGGCACAGGAGCGCAGCGGTGACGTCACCGCAACTTAGTGGTGAACGGTGGTGGTGGGTGTTGTTGTTGTTGTTGGAGCAGTGGAACAGTGGTTCACACAGTGGTGGTGAGCACATCCCAGGCTCAGCTCCAGCTACTTTCGTTGGTGCCCAGTAATAACAGAGATTCACAGTGCAAAGCAAAGCGAGCTTGGCCGGGCCGAAGGGACATTCGGTGGTCCAGGGCCCCCCCCCCCCCCACCTCACCCCAGCCACCCAGCCCCCCTAGCGCCGCCGGCCCTGGTACCGTCCGCAGGCTCCGGCATGCGTGTTGTGGCAAAGCCTCGCCCACGGCGAAAGGGAGCCCCCCCCCCCGGCCCCCCCCCCCCCCCCCCCGTGTGCCGAGCTCGCCCCCTTTAGCCAGCCCCTCCCACGCGGCGGCGATATTCCCCGCTGCCAATTCGGCTGCGGGGTGCCGTCACCGCCGCCGCTGTCGTACGGGGGGTGTGCGGCAGACGCGTCCGGGCAGCGCCGGTGCCACACGCAAGGGCGGTAGTTGCACGGCGGTGTCGTCGTCGTCGTCGCGACGTTCCGTGCCGGCTCCCCCCCCCCCCCCCCCCCCCCGCCGCCACGCGGTTGCGTGTCTTCCCGAAGGACTTCTCGTGACAGGCGGGGCCGAGAGTAAAAGGGAAGGGTTCCGTTCCGAGAGGCCTGCGATGTGGTAAGACCCGTCGGGAGGACTCGTGGCTCGCGACCGTTCCGGACGTTCACCGTCGCGCCGCGGTCCGCCCTCGCCCCGCGAATGCGCCGTTGTTCGGAAACTTTGAAGGCCCCTCACCGTCGAGACGATGCTGGACTTGGCGGGGGCGGGGGGGGGGGGTGGACTTACGGAGGGACAGTGAGGGCTGCTCGTAAGCGCGGCAGGGGTCTACGGGTTTGGCATTGTCGGGTTGGCATAGGCGCGGAGGCTGTTGGAGCAGCTGCTGCCGGTTATACAGCGGACGTGCGTGCGATGATGCGTGGGACACTTTCTATTATTATTCAGGAAAGATGAACCGAGTCCCGAGGCTCCTTTTCGGGAGGGTCCTGCCAAGTGTTTTTTCACAGCTTAGGGGGGCGATGTATGTGGCAATCCCATTGGAGTCATTGGCAGGTGATTTTTCAGCATCGGCGGGATCGGTTTTTGGTCAATACCGGTTACGTTGTATGGGTTTTTCTGTGCAATCTATCGGCGGTAACGAGAGAACCCAGTTGGAAACCCATGCAGGACAACAGGGCAAGAGAGACCGTACAAATCCCTCGCAGAAAGGTGCCCCTAGTCGGGGGTTGAACCCAGGTGCTACTTGCTGTGAGGGCCTCCCTGCTGCCAAACGTGACGAGAGTTCACAGGGATGGTTGCCGCCGCCGCTGCTGCTGCTGCTGCTACTGTTGCTGCTGTTGCTGCTGCTGCTACTGTTGCTGCTTTTGCTGCTGTTGTTACTACTGTTTATGCTGCTACTGTTGCTACTGTTGCTGCTGCTACTGTTGCTGCTGCTACTGTTGCTGCTGTTGCTGCTGTTTATGCTGCTACTGTTGCTGCTTTTGCTGCTTTTGCTGCTGCTGTTACTACTGTTTATGCTGCTACTGTTGCTACTGTTGCTGCTGCTACTGTTGCTGCTTTTGCTGCTTTTGCTGCTGCTGTTACTACTGTTTATGCTGCTACTGTTGCTACTGTTGCTGCTGCTACTGTTGCTGCTGCTACTGTTGCTGCTGTTGCTGCTGTTGCTGCTGCTACTGTTGCTGCTTTTGCTGCTTTTGCTGCTGCTGTTACTACTGTTTATGCTGCTGCTGTTACTACTGTTGCTGCTGCTACTGTTGCTGCTGTTGCTGCTGTTTATGCTGCTACTGTTGCTACTGTTGCTGCTGCTACTGTTACTGCTGTTGCTGCTGCTACTGTTGCTGCTGTTGCTGCTGTTTATGCTGCTACTGTTGCTACTGTTGCTGCTGCTACTGTTACTGCTGTTGCTGCTACTGTTACTGCTGTTGCTGCTGCTACTGTTACTGCTGTTGCTGCTACTACTGTTGCTGCTGTTGCTGCTGCTGCTACTGTTGCTGCTGCTGCTACTGTTGCTGCTGTTGCTGCTGTTGCTGCTGCTGCTGTTACTGCTGTTGCTGCTGCTTGTGCTATTGCTGTTTGTGCTGCTGCTGCTGTTGCTGCTGTTTGTGCTGCTGTTGTTGCTGCTGCTGCTGTTGCTGCTGCGCGCGACACAGAAACGCAAATCGGAGTAAATGACTCACGGCCGTGAACAAGGACCCGCGTGTCAGCAGTGTGTGACAGTGAAGCCGCTGTGTTTTTGTCGGATGCCTTGGCATGGCCACGAAATCCTTCCAAAATACAATACCCGTTTGTGAACTTTCATCGAGTGTCCGTGCCCCCCCCCTGCCCCCCCCCGCCCCTCCCACCCCATTCCTCTGTGTGTAGTCCGTGCTCACTCAAGAGGCGCCCGGGAAGGTCGTCGGTTCCAATTGGCCGGTTCACCCTATCCCCCCCCCCCCCCCCGAAACAGACATTGCCACACGCGAGAATAGAACCCCTCCATCCTCGTCAGATTTTATGGGTAGCGTAGAAATATATAAATATATATCAAAAAATAATTATTCATCCAATTTGTGCGGGGTTAGTTGTGGAATGTCGGAGCGCCGAATGAAAATGACCCCCCCCCCCCCCCCCCCGGATGGTTCTTTTGGTTGGGCCTGGAGCGCACACCGCATACCGACGGTTAGCAAACCTTCCGGCACGGAGAGCCTCCCTCCTCCTCCTCCGCCTCCTCCTCAATTATACCACACGTCTGGAGTGATGAGCACTGTGGTGGGAATTACTATCAAGGTAACGCTTGCAGCAGATCCATTTGGTGGCGGGGTGGCGCTTTGTTTCCATCAACTTGTACGCGCGGTGTAGGGTGGCGCCAGCGGTAAACACTCGTGCCCCGCAGCAAAGCCGAAGGGGCCTTGGTCAGATTCCCGACTCGGGACCTCTTTCTGTACGCCACTTTAACACGAGGTAGGCTTTCGCGAACAATTTTATTCACACTAGAGGGGTTTCTTTTGGGTTGGATCGCGTTCCCGGTCTTGGCAGGAGGAGGTTGAAATTACTGGCGAAACGTCGTACTCGAATTGTAAACGTTGTGGGTTTACTCTCCAACACACCGGTGTGCTGAGCCCGTGGTTTACGTGACACAACCACAGTAATTGGATGTGTCGGGTGGGGGGCGGGTGTAACGACACATTTATATTCACGTGATCTAACCCAACAAAACTCTGTGGAGTTTTGTGCGCTCTCACCTGTTCTGCAGAGAGTGTGAGTGAGTGAGTGTGAGAAGAGTGGTGAATGTTCTCTCCCCTGTTCTGCAGAGAGTGTGAGTGAGTGTGTGAGAAGAGTGGTGAATGTTCTCTCCCCTGTTCTGCTGAGAGTGAGTGAGTGTAAGAGAAGAGTGGTGAATGTTCTCTCCCCTGTTCTGCTGAGTGAGTGAGTGAGAGAGAAGAGTGGTGAATGTTCTCTCCCCTGTTCTGCTGAGAGTGAGTGAGTGTGAGAGAGAAGAGTTGTGAATGTTCTCTCCCCTGTTCTGCTGAGCGTGAGTGAGTGTGAGAGAATAGTGGTGAATGTTCTCTCCCCTGGTCTGCAGAATGAGTGAGTGAGTGTGAGAAGAGTGGTGAATGTTCTCTCCCCTGTTTTGCTGAGTGTGAGTGAGTGAGAGAAGAGTGGTGAATGTTCTCTCCCCTGTTCTGCTGAGAGTGAGTGAGTGAGAGAATAGTGGTGAATGTTCTCTCCCCTGTTTTGCTGAGTGTGAGTGAGTGTGAGAGAGAAGAGTGGTGAATGTTCTCTCCCCTGTTCTGCTGAGCGTGAGTGAGTGAGTGTGAAGAGTGGTGAATGTTCTCTCCCCTGTTCTGCAGAATGAGTGAGTGAGTGTGACAAGAGTGGTGAATGTTCTCTCACCTGTTCTGCTGAGCGTGAGTGAGTGAGTGAGAGAATAGTGGTGAATGTTCTCTCCCCTGTTCTGCTGAGCGTGAGTGAGTGAGAGAAGAGTGGTGAATGTTCTCTCACCTGTTCTGCTGAGAGTGAGTGAGTGAGAGAATAGTGGTGAATGTTCTCTCCCCTCGTCTGCAGAATGAGTGAGTGAGTGTGAGAAGAGTGGTGAATGTTCTCTCCCCTGGTCTGCAGTGTGAGTGAGTGTGAGAAGAGTGGTGAATGTTCTCTCCCCTGTTCTGCAGAGTGTGAGTGAGTGAGTGAGAAGAGTGGTGAATGTTCTCTCCCCTGTTCTGCTGAGAGTGAGTGAGTGTGAGAAGAGTGGTGAATGTTCTCTCCCCTGTTCTGCAGAGTGTGAGTGAGTGAGAAGAGTAGTGAATGTTCTCTCACCTGTTCTGCTGAGCGTGAGTGAGTGTGACAAGAGTGGTGAATGTTATCTCCCCTGTTCTGCAGAGTGAGTGAGTGAGTAAGAAGAGTGGTGAATGTTGCCTCCTCTGTTCTGCTGAGTGTGAGTGAGTGAGTGTGAGTGAGTGTGAGAAGAGTGGTGAATGTTCTCTCCCCTGTTCTGCAGAGTGTGACTGAGTGTGTGAGAAGAGTGGTGAATGTTCTCTCCCCTGTTCTGCTGAGTGAGTGAGTGTGAGAAGAGTGGTGAATGTTCTCTCCCCTGTTCTGCAGAGCATGAGTGAGTGAGAGAGAAGAGTGGTGAATGTTCTCTCCCCTGTTCTGCATGGGTTTCCTCCAGGTTCCCCGGAACAATGTCACTGGTCATCGACCAAAAACTTCCCAATGCTGTAAAAAAAATCGACACTGCAAATGACTCAGTTGGGATTACACAGCAAGTAGCAGCATCGCCCCCCCCTTGCTGCCAAAACTTGTCAGGACCCTCGTGAAAACGAGTCTTGCAACTCAGTTCGGCTCTCCTGGGTAAACAAGCATCATCATCATCATCATAACAGTAATGATCAAATATCCCAGGCCTCAGCGCACGCATGTCCACTGTACAGCGGGCAGACAGCTGCTACAGCAGCTTCCGTCTGTCGGACCTCAACAGCAGCGCCAAACCCTCTTTGAGACTCGGCGAGGCTTCCCTCGGGTAAAACGTAATGACGACAACCACACTAATAATGCCGCAGCGACTGGGAGAGTCACCCGTGAGTGGCTTGTCCCGTGTCGCGTGTCTCCCCACCGCGGAGTGAAGTCACAGTTGGCCCCGGGGGGGTGGGAGAGAGGTGGGTGGTGGTGGGGGGGGAGCGCGTTGGCTGTGAAGGACGCTGCTCTTGTTCATACCACCTGGCCAAGCCGGTTACTCCGCCACGTCGCGGCTCCCCGTCTCGTGCCACGTACGCGACGGCTGCGTCGCGTCCCGTACGTTGCTGGGGGTGGGGGGTGGCGGGGAGGTAGGGGGGGGGGGGGGTCCAAACATCGTTGGTTGCCAAGCGCAGGGCCCGAATTGACCACGAAAAGGCCAAGCGGCGAGCGTCGTACTGCACCGTCGAAGGTGCAGTGGATAAGCGAGAGTAGTTAGCGCGTCGTCTCGAGCTGAGCCAGGTTATTGTTGTTGTTGTTGTCGGAGCTTGGCGGTAATCGAGACTGACGCCCGTCGTTTTGTTCCCTCGTGGCGGCCCGGGAGCTTTTTCAGTCCCGTTGGAGAAGAAGCTCCCCCCCCCCCCCACCCCGACATGGTGGGGAGGGGTGGCGGGGTGGGGGGCGAAACGTCGGACCGTCGCGCCCAATCGACAAGCAGCGGTAGAATTCGAAAAGGTATCGGAGAGAGGTGGGATATTTAACCTCTCTACCGTGGCACTCTCTGGATTGTCTATGATTATGATGAATTATTGTTAGGCGTGTTTACACGAGGAAGTAAATTGTCGGCCGTGTGGAATCCCAAATGAGCCACCTGCATAGTCATTTTTTTGATTTGGCAAAGTTGGTACGGTGACACCGGCACACACGATGTCTCTCACCCGTTCCGCATAGCAGTTAACACGCACGCACACACCGCAGTATTAACCCGGGCAGCCCGCTGGATTCGAACCGCGGGCATCCGCGGCACCGCCCCACCGAGACAGTGTGTTCGCGCAGCAAGCCCGGGCACGTGCTTCTTCAACTAACCCACCCAGTCGACGCCAAGTGTGTAATTAATCCTCAAAATTTAAATCGAAGCAAATGACGACTGTCCGTGGTTATCCGAGCGCAGGTTACGTATTGCGAGTGGCTCTGCAGCCGAAGGTAATGCCGTTCTCGCAGTGGCTCGGCTTGCGAGCGGTCGCAAGCAGCTCGGGGTTTGTTTGATGTTCGTGACTCTAACCCTCTTCTTCTTTGGTTCTTTCGGTAAAGTCACGTAGAATGAGAATAAAATAATAAATTGATAAAATAAAATAACACAATAATATTCTCACGACGTTTCGGCCACAACACAAGCGGCCTTCATCAGGTGAAGGGACGAGACTGTCTGGAGGACAGGAGGGCAGCGCTGTCCTACCAGACAGTCTCGTCCCTTCACCTTATGAAGGCCGCTTGTGTTGTGGCCGAAACGTCGTGAGAATATTATTTTGTTATTTTATTTTATCAATTTATTATTTTATTCTCATTCTACGTGACTTTATCGAAAGAACCAAAGAAGATGAATCCTTGCAGTCACGAAAGCTTTAAATCGAAATCTAACCCTCTTGTCCGTGTCGTTTTTCGAACTCCAGTTTCACAGAGTTCGCGCATTAGGCTCGCCGGTGTCTGGCCGTCTTGTGTGTAACGTGGGGGGGGGGCGGGGTCACGGGGTCACGATGACACCCCGTGAAGGTGACCCGATGCACACGTAACAGTTGTGTCGCTGTTAGGGACTCGCGCAGTCGAAAGGCAGGGTATTCCATCAAACTTGGCCAACGCACGCCGGGGCAAAGAGGAATATTTGCAAATACGACCGCACGAGTTTTGTCCTAATCGCTCTTCCGCCCCCCCACCCCGCCCCCCCCCCCCCCCCCCCCCCCCCCCCCCCCCCCCAGGCGTACGCGTGGTCCTTGGAGCGGATCCGCGGGCTGGCGAGGCTGCACTCCGTCCGCGACGCCGGCGCCGGCCGCCACCCAGCCTCGGAGAAGCACGACGCGGCGGTGGCGGTGGTGAGGCGCTTGGAGGCGCTCTCCCGCGCAGCCCCGACATCCCGGCGGCCGAGTTTGCGGAGATGGAGGAGGTGGCGCGGGGGTTGGCGCGCGACGCCGGCCACGTCGGCGCCCTGCGCCAGCGGCACTTCGCCCGGGGAAAGTGTCGCGAGGCCGGCCAGGCCTTCTCGCGCAAGCTGGAGGCGGCGCTCCTCCGGACTGCCGCCACGCGCGGTCCGAGCGGAAGGCGCGCGGCGCCGGCGGGCGGCCGGGAGCCCGACGCGTTCGGCGGGGACGCGTCGGACGGCCCGCCGGGGAGCTCGCGCGGCGGACGAACCCGCGGGGGCGCGCCGCGACCCCCGCCGGGAAGAACGCGAATCGCTGGAGAGTTTGGTCTTCGAAGGGATGGAGTACTGGACATCGGACCGCATGGTGGGCGACCCGGGGGATGCGGGAGACTCGGAGGAGGCAGGCACGCCGAGCCCCGCGCCCAGAAGCGAATCCCGGCAGCGGTGCTACAGCGTGAACGACATGCGCGTCGACGAGCGGTCGGAGCCCGGGGGGCTGGCCGCGGAACGGCTGCCGCCGCCGCCGCCGCCGCCGCCGCTCCTCGCCGGCCGCGGGGAGAGGCGGCTGCTGAGCGCGCCCGCGGGCGGGCCGAACCCGCGGGACGACTCGGGCGAAGCGCGCCACGGAGGGAAGGGCGGCAGGGAAGCTCGCGGCAGCTTCGCCCTGGAGCACGCGCACTCGTTCCTCGCCAACTGCAAGGCGGTGCTGCTGCGCGACAGGCGGAGGCTCTCGCGGGCGGCGGAGGACCGCACCGACGGGCGGTCGGCCGCCGCCGATTTGCGCAGGAGCCTGAGCGCCCTCGAGTCGATCGACGGGGGCGCCGTCGCCCGCGGCGACGGCGCGGCGCGCTCGCCGCAGCGGAGTCCCGCCAGGTCGCCCTCGGCCCGCGGCGGCGGCGGCTTTGGCGACGCCGGCGGCTCGCGGCAGCGGGAGCAGCGGCTGGGCGGCGCCCGGCCGCCCCTGCGGAGGCTCGTCAAGGTGCAGAGCGTGGACGCCGGCATCGGGCGCAGCACGGAGGCGCTGGGCGGCACCGCCGCCGCCGTCGCCGTGGGTCTGTACCGCCGCGACGAGCCCGTGCTGCGGCACGGCAACACGGGGCTCTACATCCGAGGGCTGGAGGTGGGCAGCACGGTGGCCGTGGAGACCGGCTTCATGCCGCGGTCAGCATCGCACAGCGCCCTGCACTCTACCGTGAGTAGCGGTCGTGACGTCGTGGTCGTCGTTATTGTCGCTGGGCTTCCAACAGTTCCCCTTGGTGGGACCCTGCTGTGGGAAACCACGCGGGCGACAGCGTTGACCCCCCCGCGGTTGACCGAGCGCAACTCGCCCACCCTCGCTCCGCCGATGCGATGATTAGAAATCGCCCTTGTCACGTGATCGATGTTACTTTGTTTCTTTAGAACTGCGTTTTGTGTTTAGCTTGTCCCCACCGCCTCAACCTCCGATTAGCACTGTTCGGCTACGTATGGCGCACGAAAGAAGTTAAAAATTACATTTATTCTCTTTTCCGCTTGTCTTTCGCTCCCAACAGCAGCAACAACACCAGCAGCAAACAGCAAGTCAGCAGCCGTCGCCCACGCACCGCCGGCCTGCGCTCCTCCGCTCGGGCAGCCTGCCCGTGGCGCCCGTGCAGCGCCGCTTCTCCGAGACGGAGAGCCACAGCCGCGGGAGGTGAGTGGGCGACACTCTCGCTCGGGCAGCGTGTGAGCGCTTGTGTGCGTATGTGTGGCACGGTTGGCACCGTGCGAGAGCGGGGCGGGGGGGGGTGGTGGAGCTGCCAGTCATCTCGGTCGATCAACCCCGTAATACCTTGGCGGTGACCTGTATCAGCCGTGTCAAGATCGGTCTCTTTGGAGGCTCGTGAAGGACGCTACTGGATAGTTGGAGGCAGCCGCCCTCCAACAACAGCGGAGGAGCGACACTCAGGAAAACTTTGTGGAGTGCCGGGTGGTTAAAAATACGCTTGCAGCACTTGCCCCAGCCGCCTGTGTAGGCTACATAAAGGATTTTTTGTGTATAGGGAGTGGTGAAGCAATGGTTTGCAGATTGCCATATGAACCCGTCAACCCGAGTTTGATTCTAATAGCCCTATCCGAGAATCAAACCCACGCAATGAGGTTTATTGGCCGATGTAAAGTTTATATCAGAACCTGACCTGGTGCAGTGGGTTAATATCTGCACTGGGGAGACAAAGAAGGGCTTGCTGCTGGCCACACGACCCGCCCATGCGCCTTGCCGGCCTTTATCGGTGCTTGCTAACAGCACCAATGGCCTGTTCAGGGCAATACAAGTAATCATTGGCACAGTGGGGAGCACAGGTGGTGCATCTGCCAGTCATCTCAGTCAACCTGTGGCAGCTGGGCTGGTGTCGAGACCTCCTGTTTGCGAACCTTCCAACAGTTTCCGTGGCCTCAAGGTGCACTTAGCCCAGCATAGGATCCACGTCACCGCCACCTGTTGGCGAACGACGACTGTTGTCGAGTGGGTTCTTGAGTAGCTGGTGCGACAAGAGTGGATTCGTGAGTGAGCTTGCTGTCGTCACTTGCGGGCGTGGTGGTTGAACATCCTCCCTCAAGTGAACCCGTGGCACCTGGGGGGGTCTGTCCCACGATGACACCCCCGAAAACCTCGCGTTCGGCCCGTCTCGCTCGCGCTCTTTTCCGCCGCCGCCACAGCAAGCTACGGCACGTGGTGGCGGAGATGATCGACACGGAGCGCGAGTACGTGCGGGCGCTGGCCTTCGTGGTGGAGCACTACGTGCCGGAGCTCGACGGCCCGGGCGCCGCGACGCCGCCCCCGCCGCCGGAGCTGCGCGGCCGCCAGAACGCGCTGTTCGGGAACCTGCGCGGAATCCTCCTGTTCCACGAGGGCTACTTCCAGCGCGAGCTGGAGCAGTGTGCCGTGCACCCGCTGCGCGTGAGCCACTGCTTCCTGCGACACGTGAGTGCAAGCGGCGCGAGTGGAATTATTTTTTTTTTTTCCTCTTTTTCCCTTTTGCGGCTAAGAGCTCCCGTCGTCGTGCGGCACTTCGCCAGTCCGGCGGCGCTCTATTAAGCCGCCATCGGTCGTAGAGGGCGGTACAGGTCTTAACAGTGAATTGTAGATGTCGTGGGGTTTACTCTCCGACACACCGGTGTGCTGAACGAGTAACGAGTTGGCACGTTTTATTTACGTGATAAATCTTACTAATTGGCCGTGACGGGTGGTGGTGGTGGTGGTGGGTTTAAGGACAGATTTTTATTTACACAAACTAACTCAGAAACCTCTATTATGGAGAGCTTTCGCTCTTTACGTGTATATTTTTAAAGGGCAGTCTCATCTCGGCATATTTCAAAGGGGTAAACCCCCCTCCTAGTGGCAGTTGGTCCCATGGCTCGGCAACTACCTACGAACATTGCCCAGAGACTTACATTTGCGCACGGATCACAGCGCTCCGCGATGATGACATGAAACGTACCCGGGAGGCGGCCTGGCTGGTGAACTCTGGATCAGAGCGGCCTCACGGATGGCTTAGTCGCTGCTGAGGCTCGTTTGTCCAGGCAAGCCTCAGCAAGGCCGCTTGTGGCACACCGATTGGCTCGGTGCGGGGCTGACCTGGGTGGCAAGGACGATGGGAGGGCAGGGGCGGTGGGCACGGGTGGAGCGGGAGGGGGGTAGCAGGCCCCCTTTTTATTCGTGCAACTTTTTTTATCCGGCTGTGTCTCGCCGTTGTTGGGCCACACCTGGCGGGGTAGTCCACACCTGGGCAGGGGGTAATGGGATTCGTTGATTCCAGGGGCCACGCAGATGTGGCGACCACAAGCGGAGGCAGTTTTAATGTCAGGATGCCGTTTAATAATGCATGAGCGGACCCTACTGTTGTGCACGCGAAACGGGAAAAGGCAGACTTTTCAATTATATTAGCGATCGCAGTGGCTCGCTACGTTTTGGCGTTTGTAGGCCCTGTCGTTCCTGCGGCACGGGGGGCGATGGGCACGGAGGCACCGCACGGCTGTGTGCATCACAAACACGGCCGCGCGGTGGTTTCGCATAAGGGGATGTTGATCCAAATTGAGTAGTTTGCGGTGTCGTTTCCTCCCGCATGTACGAAACGCTCTTTAAACGGAGCTGGCCAAACATCCCAATATAGGGTCACAGTGTAGGGCTATGGGAGCCTTCAACATTGAAGTTTATGGGAGCCTTTAACGCTGAAGTCTATGGGAGCCTTCAACATTGAAGTCTATGGGAGCCTTCAACGTTGAAGTCCATGGGAGCCTTCAACGTTGAAGTCTATGGGAGCCTTCAATATTGAAGTCTATGGGAGCCTTCAACATTGGAGTCTATGGGAGCCTTTAACATTGAAGTCTATGGGAGCCTTCAACGTTGAAGTCTGTGGGAGCCTTTTACGTTGAAGTCTATGGGAGCCTTTAACATTGAAGTCTATGGGAGCCTTTAACATTGAAGTATATGGTAGCCTTCAATGTTGAAGTCTATGGGAGCCTTCAACGTTGAAGTCTATGGGAGCCTTTAACATTGAAGTCTATGGGAGCCTTCAACGTTGAAATCTATGGGAGCCTTCAATATTGAAGTCTATGGGAGCCTTCAACATTGGAGTCTATGGGAGCCTTTAACATTGGAGTCTATGGGAGCCTTTAACATTGAAGTCTATGGGAGCCTTCAACGTTGAAGTCTGTGGGAGCCTTCTACGTTGAAGTCTATGGGAGCCTTTAACGTTGAATTCTATGGAAGCCTTTATCAGAATCAGAATCTGAATATTTTTTTCAGATTCTGAAATAGAGTTTCACTTGGGAAATTGCTCGTGGGAGTACTGGCTGCCTTCCCACTTTGTGGTTTCTCACACACACACACACACACCTCCGAATCATTAAGTCTGTCCCAGATCGAATGAAAACGTCAGCGTTACGAATTCTAAACGATTTATTCCTCACCTTCCCCAACCCACCCCCCCGCGCCTCCACGTTGCAGGCGAAGCAGTTTGAGATGTACGCCCTCTACAGCAAAAACAAGCCGCGCTCCGACGCCCTGCTCGCCAGCCACGGCATCGCCTTCTTCCGGGTACGCCACCAGCACACCGGCCACTCGAGCCAGCCAGCCCCCCCACCTCCTTGCGTCGCTCTTCTACCGTTCGCTGGCGTGGTCGCCGTTGATTTCCGCCTCCCACTTTGAGGACTCTCACGGGCTTACCGGAACACAGCCCCCCCCCGTCCCCCCCCCGCCTGCCATCCCCCCCCGCGCCCCCCCCCCCTCCGACCGTTTTCGTCTCCGGCCACGGTTACGTTCAGCCAGGGGGGGTGACAGGGTGGTGACATTCTGCGTGTAAGTGTACGACGCTCGGTCTGGTGGACTCGGTGCAACTGCATTGTCAGAGCGTGTCGCCAACCGATGGCGTCTGGCTCAACAGCCTGACTCTCTCTAAATCATTCTTGAAATTAACATTTGTTGAATGTCACCCCGGCCTGAAATCCTGGCTCCGCCCCTGCGTTCAGCCGAGAAACGGCGTCTTGACTCCCTTTGCCCCTTACGGCTTTGAAGGTGTCGGTTTTCGGTGGGGGGCGGGGGGGGGGGTGGGTCACGTGGGGGAGGGGAAAAGCCTGTGCACTGCAACCGTTCAACATGTTTTTATAATAATAATAAATAACAAATTAAAAACCCGCACAAACACATTGGGGAGTTTAAGCGAAACGCAGGTTAGGTTTCGAAGATGCGCCAAGAGGGTTTATAAGAGTGGCCAGCCTTGCCCCCAAACCTGCACAGTGTGCCCCTCTCTCCACGAGTTCTGCATTCGTGAATTTTCTCACATGTTCACGGCTTTCTAAATGTATACCAAATCCCTATTCGCGACCCCATTTTTTTCCCATGGAAAGCAAGATAATCTGCATTCGCGAATTCTGCATTCGCCAGTGTTTTCAAGAACGTAGCCCTCACGGATGAAGAGGGTTTTTTTACTTTAATTATCTAAAACTTATTTTGCACCGTACGTAGCCAACCGTGCTAATTGTCGGTGCGGGGGAAGGACAACAAACGAAACACAAAAAGCAGCTCTAAAGATATTAGTTTTCAATCTTGATGTAAAAGTGCATAGCTCCAGTGGCTTCCTAATGTCGGAAGGAAGAGCGTTCCAGACGGACTCATAAGTGCATCTGAAAGCACCGCGCGATGCGGTGACCACCGTCTTTGCCGCGAGGATGACCGGAGTTGGCGTAGTAGTAGTAGTAGTAGTGCTGCACCGATACACCGAAATCACCGCGTGTAAACTTTTTACAACCGCGTAGGCGAGCGCGCAGCCCGGCACGGTGGTGTAATGGTTCAGCACGTGAACGTGGCCACCCGCCCAACTTTGCCGATTTGATCTCGAGGAGCGGCAGTTGAAACAAAGGGGGGGGGGGGGGGCAGGCCTTTGTTGGGACGGCTAGTCAAAAGCTGCCGCGAGGGTGACCGGAGCTCACTCGATGGCGGGGCTTGCGCTCCTTGCTGACGAGACCCGGCGAGGCATCGCCGGGTCTCGTCTTTTGTGGCTGGCACTCGGGGCGTGTGCAACGGGCGCGGCGGCCTGCTCGTGGACCCGTCGACCGGTGCGCTGTCCGTCGTCGCGCGTGCGCAGCGGAAGCAGCTGGAGCTGGAGGACAAGATGGACCTGGCCTCTTACCTCCTCAAGCCCATCCAGCGCATGAGCAAGTACGCGCTGCTGCTGCGCGACATGATCAAGGAGAGCGCGGGAGCAGAGTCGGCGGGCCGAGTTGGGGGGGGGGGCCTCCTCCCCCCTCCCGGATGGCCCCCCCCGCCGCCGGCGCCGCCTCCGAGCAGGACCTGGATGAGCTGCGCGCCGCGCTGGATCTCGTCAAGTTCCAGCTGCGGCACGGAAACGACCTGCTGGCCATGGACGCCATCCGCGAGTGTGACGTGAGTACCACCCCCCCCCCCGCCTCCCCCACCATGCGACCACGGTGGCTAGGAGATGTTAACTACCTCGCCTGGTGTGCAGGAGGTCGTGGCTCCGTTCCCGACCCTTGACGACTGCTGTATGTTTGGAGTTTGCGTGTCTCTCTCTCATCATCATCACGGTGGCTAGGAGATGTTAACTACCTCGCCTGGTGTGCAGGAGGTCGTGGCTCCGTTCCTGACCCTTGACGACTGCTGTATGTTTGGAGTTTGCGTGTCTCTCTCTCATCATCATCACGGTGGCTAGGAGATGTTAACTACCTCGCCTGGTGTGCAGGAGGTCGGATTTTTCTCTGCATCCTCTGCGGTTTCTCACTCCGCATTTAGAAACGGGCACTCCGAGTGTGTGGCTGCTGTAAATTTCCACACGATGCCAAGCCACTTTGGTTGGGCTATCATTTGTGACGGCCAAGGTCACTTCTGAAAAAGAGCCAAAAAGCTCTGTGGGCCTTACCTGGTTAAAATTAAAAAGAGTTCATAGTTTCGGACTTGCCACCTATGACTAGCAACTCCACGAGATTCGCCCGCTCGTGATTTAGCCGTTCGGTCGCTTTGTCTGAGAGTTGCCGATTTGCAGATACACCCCACACCCGCCTGGGCTCTTCAAGGCATCGACCACGTCTGTGTGCGTTTGTGGGGAACAGCAGCAGCGCCGCAGCAACGGTTCGCGCGCTGCGCTATGAGCCCGGCGACACGACTTCACTTCCTGCTCACAGTCAGCGCCAGGGACGTAGATCTGAAACCGTTCTTGGGCCACCCCCTATGGTTGATTCGGCCTGAAAGGAGTACCCGGTGCCGTGTGTAAACATCACCACTGGGGAGACAAAGGCGGCCGGGCGCGGTGCCGGCCGACCCAACCCCTCGTGTGCCAACAGTGCGGCATAGCATTGGGTGCTGCTCGCTAACAGTACTTGCCCCAACAGTCTGGTGTGGTGGGGGGGGGGGGTTGAATCTTTGTCGTTTTTCTGCGTGCGCTTGCAGGTGAATCTCAAAGAGCAGGGCCAGTTGCTGCGTCAGGAGGAGTTTGTGGTGTGGCACGGACGCAAGAAGATGCAGCGCAGGGTGTTCCTCTTCCAGGAGCTGGTGCTCTTCAGCAAGACGAAGCGTGCCGAGGGAGTGCAGGATGTCTACGCGTACAAGAGCTCCTTTAAGGTGCGGCACCAGGCCCGGCAAGGCCGGTGGGGGAGGGGGGAGGTGGGGGGGTTTAGCCCCCCCCCCCCCCCCACCATAATAGCGCCAAGCAGAGTGAATTTGGTTTGGTGGTCCCGGGGCTCCCTATAACCGAGCTGGCGACGCCGGGCCCCATCCTGGCCTCTCGAGTTTAAACCGGTGAAACGAAAACGCGCTTGAAATGTTGCTCGGTGTCAAACGGGGTCAACTGGGCGGCGAGAGCTTGACCCTGGGTGGCCAGGGTCGTCCGTGACTGCCGTCAGGCGGGGAAGATGTAAACCTCTGGGTGGAGCCGGTCCTGCCCCCTCCCCCTGTGTTGCGTGCGACGAAAGTCCCAGTTCCCGGATTGTAGGAAACGGAACGAAACGGCCGCACGGTCGGCGGCGCGTGGCGCTTGCCCGTTGGCCGCGATTGTGGTTCGACTGCGCGCCGACGAGGTTGGTGACGATGCGATGACGACGTGAAACCCGGCAGACGGCGGAGCTGGGGCTCACCGAGAGCTTGGGCGAGGAAGGGCTGCGCTTCGAGATCTGGTTCCGCCGCCGGAAGTCGAGCGACGCGTTCGTGCTGCAAGCGCCGACGCCCGAGCTCAAGCTGGCGTGGACGAGGGACTTGTCGCGCATCCTGTGGCAGCAGGCGACGCGGAACCGCCGTGAGTACAGTACAACGCCCTTCGCCAGCAGCAAGCAGGTCCCGAGCGTTTGTCAGCGGTGGGAGGAGCTGCCGAGCGTTTGTCAGCAATTGTCATCTGTGAATGGAGCCAGAAATCGGCGCAGTACCAAGAACACGAATGTAACAACACACGCGCACACACACGTGTGCGTGCGCGACGTGGCATGTGCAAAAGCCTTGTCCAGATCACCAGCTCAAAAGAACCACATTTGGCCACGTTGAAGTTTTTCGGCCGACTGAGGCATGGCAGCGCAGCTGGCAATCGGTGATCGCTGCTATCCAGATGAGTCTTCACCTTTTCCCGTCCCGAGACGTCTGCAAGTTGCACGGTTTTTGTCCCCGTTCACCGCCGAATCTCGGAACGCGCAAGCCCCGTTCGGGGTTAATTTTTTTTCGAGAGGCGTAGTAGCGCCGTTCTTTAAATTCAAGACACTGTACTCAACGCGGAGGATAGCTGGTGCGAAACCGTGCCACGCGCCCTCCCGCCGTGGCCTTATGGGAGACGACTCGGTACCGATGAGGTTCTTGCATTTTAGTTTTTCTCCCGGCTCCGATGAATGAGAACCAAAAATGGGTCCACGGTCGTTGTCGCCCCCCCCCCCCCCGCAGAGGTGCGCATGCAGGAACTGTCCTGCATGGGCGTGGGGGGGAAGCCCTACATGGACATCCGGCCCAGCGCCGCGGCCATCAGCGACCGCGCCATCGACTTCTTCACCAGGGGCCGTGGTGAGAGTCGCCCCCCCCCCCCCCTCTCTCCCCCGACACCACCCGCGGCTCTTACAGACGCCCCCGCGCTTCTCCCGCTCACGTTTTCGTGAAATGTCGCGAGCGGTCGACGGCCTGTGGGGTCATCTGTGGGTCGGGCCTTGGAAATCTTTTTTCTCCCACAAGCGGCATCATTGGCAGGCATCTTAGCCACACAAAATGGGGTGGGTGGTGGGGTGGGGGGGGGCGGCGGCGGGGGGGGGGGGGGGGCGAGATATTGCGGACAATCCTGGCACGATCACAGGAGCCCCCCCCGCCACCCGAAGAGCCGAGGCTCAGCCGGGCTATCCCCCGTGCGAGCAAGAAGAGTCGTAACAACGAGTGAATGTGGCCCGGCGTGCCTTCCGGGGGGGGCTCCCCCCGCCCCCGCCCCTTTTGACGCGGCGCATTTTTCTCCAGGGACGCGGTCGCGAGCCTCCATTGCCGTGTCGTCCTTCGACCACTCGGGCCAGACCTCGCCGCACCGCCCCGCCTTCCTGTCGCAGACGGGCGGCCAGGCGTTCGGCGGCCCCTACTCCTGCGTGGGCCCCGTCGGCGGCGGTCCCTTGGTCAGCCCCGGGCGGATGGCGGCCGCCACCAGCGAGTTCCAGTCCTGCATCCAGGAGGAGGAGGACGCGACGGAGCCGGAAACGGGCAGCCAGCCGTCCGTGGGTGAGAGCATTGGGCCCCCTTCCCCCCCCCCCCCCCCCCCCACCAACGCACTCGCCACCGCTACTGTGTTGGTGACATGGCCCTGCGGTAGCGCGCCAGCAGCGGAGGTTTGCGGTTCGAGGGCAGAGCGGCCTCCCTGGTTAATGCTGCCGTGTGCGTATCAATTGTAGAGAAACCACCTGCCGACTGCTTCGGCCTCGGTGGGCGTTACGTGCAGGGTGCAGGAGTAGGCCCATTGTGTGTGGCGTCCAAGTTCAAAGTACGCTGCAGATTAGTGAATTGGTGTTACACGTTGCGGTCTCGGCCCCATACCGGCAGACTCGTGTCCGCTCGCAAGTCAGGTGCCAGGTGATCTTGTGCCGTACGGGGTCACGCTAACCTCTGCCAAAAGGAGTGTTGCAAAATTCCCGCGTCTGCGCGCACGTACACACACACGTGCACACGAGGAGCAAGCAGCGCTTGTGTGTGGGCACGCACACGCGAGGAGTAAGCAGCTTGTGTGTGTGGGCACGCACACACGAGGAGCAAGCAGCGAGTGTGTGGGCACTCGCACACGAGGAGCAAGCAGCGAGTGTGTGGGCACGCACACACGAGGAGCAAGCAGCGCTTGTGTGTGGGCACGTACACACGCGAGGAGTAAGCAGCGCACGCTTCTCTTGCAGCCACCGCCAGCACAGACTCGCTGTCGCAGTGCACGTCCAGCGGCAGCGGCGACAGCGGCTGCAGCTCGCGCTTCCTGTACGACGCCCCTGCCGAGGAGGGGGGCGCCCCTCCGCCTCTCGCCCGAGCCCCTCTCGGCCCCTTCCCCGGGCGAGGGCTCGGCCCGCCCGGCGCGCCGCCATCCCCGGCGTCGTCGGGCGACGAATTGCAGGCCCTCGCCGCGGGCCGCGGGCCGCGCTGCCGGGCCCTGCGGGCGAGCGGCGCTCCCGAGGGCGGCGCGCGTTATGGCCCCCGTGGCAACCGGGCAGAGGGCACGCGCTGGCAGGAGGACGACGCTTCTCGGCGTAACGGTGACAAGGTGAGGAGAAGCTCAGACTGTCGGTCCTGTCTTATTTGTCCACAGTTATTTGATTGTTTGGCCAGCGTGGGCCACGATCCACTCCTGTTAAGAGTTGCTCGTATCCTAGAGCTCCTGTTAGGAAGAGGGCCTTGTAACCAGAAGGGCCTCCCCTAGCAGTTGCCCACCAGGCAATGGAGCACACTGCCCATTGAGATCAGATCCGCCGAGTCAATCTCCACCTTTAAGTCTCAAAAACTCATCCGTTCAAAAGGTCTTACCGTCTGGCTTGAATTCCCTGCTCTACCCTCCCACCTTGTATATTCCGTCCCTTGAATTCTCCATGCTGCCCTTACGTTTCATACGTATGCCGTTGTTTTTTTTCATGCGGCAATTTTTTTTTTAGTATGTATAATATTGACTATTTTGTTTTACTGTTCGGTGCCTTGAGCGTGGGAAGAGCGCCATAATAAGTAAAATGCATTACTATTATATTCTTAGCTCTTTCGGTAAAGTCACGTTGAAGGGAAACAATAAAATTATAAAATATATATAAAACAATAAAAATTCTCACGACGTTTCGACCATAACACAAACGGTCAGCATCAGGTGACCGTTTGTGTCATCAGGTGATGACGACCGTTTGTGTTATGGTCGAAACGTCGTGAGAATTTTTATTGTTTTATATATATTTTATTATTTTATTGTTTCCCTTCAACGTGACTTTACCGAAAGAGCTAAGAATATGAATTACTGCAGTCACGAAAGCTTTAAATCAAAATTTGCATTACTATTATTATTAGAAGTGTTGTGAAGCAACACCAGGGCTTCCCCCCCCCCCCTCGACCTTCAAGAGGTATCTGGCGACTGGGCGCTCTGAGAATTGTGTTGCCTCCATCTCCCTTTTTCAGAAGGGAGACGGCTTCCCGTGCAGCCCATCGACGCTCTTGTGACACCCTCTCACCTTCCTGCTCCCAAGTGAGAAGACACCACCACCCCCTTTTTGCCGTGTTTCTTTTTCCTTTGGGAGACCTCGATTTCACGCTCATCTCTTTGCCCGGCGGAATTTTAGACGGCCGAGGGCGCTTCACGAGGAATCGAGGAACGGCACAACGACGGGCGCGATAGTGACGGCGGAGAGATGGGGGCCGGATGAAAAGCTAGTCGAGGGGAAGCGGCGGGCAAAATCTCCGCGAACCCGCGAATTCGGTGAAAGCGAAATTGATGACGTCTTGGCGCACCACCTTCCCTCACCGTTTGTTGGTCGCCCCCTCCGCTCCGTCACGCCCCCCCCCCTCCCCCCCTCCCAGGTTTCCACTGCGCTGGAGAGATGAGGCGTCGGGAGGGCATGTGGACGGAGTGCCTGAAGACGTGTTTACACATTTCCACCGTCCTTGTGCCATCGGCGTCCGCTGCAGTCGTCGTTAATTCACAAAATGGGGGCAATGGTGGGCGCGGGGGAAAGAGGCATTGTGGTTTCTTGGTTCCCACGCGAGCACTGCATCGGCCACTATCGTGCAAAGTGCAATACGACATTGTGGTACTTGCTCTAAATTAATTGCCAAGGTCGGCTGCACTTCATCAAAAAGGGTGGCTTTAAATATCCCGCATTGTAGCAGTGGCATTTATTAGCTCGTCCATTGCAGTATGTCAGGTGTTTCACTTTTATATAATTTTAAAGCAACCCTTGTTCCTCACAGTAACTGTCTTTATAATATATATTTGAATCGTCTTGCGTTTATTTAAAGAGTTTTACGATTCCCTTGAACGTTAGCACTTAACGTTTTGTCCGTCGCTCGTCTCTCCGAAAGCTCTGACGCAACTGCTGCCTCCGCTGCCCCCGCCGCCGCCACCACCGCCACCACGCACTGCCGTGTGTTGGGGATAGGTTCAAAGCCAGTTAGTGGAAGGGGCATTGTGACACCACCACCACCACCGTGCATGCGCGTGTGTTCGTGATAGCTTCAAAGCCAGTTAGTGGAAGGGGCATTGTGACACTGCCACCACAACCCCCCATGTTAAATCTGCTTTTGAAACAAGCGGCCAGTAACATTGCATGCAAAGTAAGTGGCTTGAGATTAAAGGCTGGTGGCTAGGGGGTGATTGAGCCACCATTGCCCGTCCACCGTTGTAACTCACTCCGTGGGCATGCACGTGTCGGGGGTACGGGGGTGGTGGGGGTTTGAGATGAAACGACCGTCAAATGGAAACGTTACCCCCACGGCACCTCGAATTGACCCACCCTTGAAGGAAGCCATGTCCGTGTAAATAAAGTGGTGTGCCCAGCGGTGCCGGATGAAGCTAGTGCGGGGCCTGTAGCATGTGTTGTTATGAAGGGGCCCAAAGTTACCAAAAAGAACACGTAAATATTAAAACACAAATTTGTTACTTGAACGGTAAAGTAATTGTATTGTTTCATTTGCTCTACGGCCAGATAATGCGACAAATCGCTAACCTTGAACACCCAGTCCGTAAACGTCGAAGGCGGTATAGTACTATAGTAATAGAGCAAGTGCAGAATCACTGAACCGGAATTGATAGCTTCAAAGCATTTCGCGCGGGGGCCCTTGAAAGTGCGGTGCCCGTAGCTACATTTGTAGCCACTTTCGCTACGAGGATCATCCGGTACTGGTTCTTAGTGTTTGGGGGGGGGGGGGGAGGGTTGGTGGTGGTGTGTAAAGGGAGCCTTGATGACTCCGCTGTCAGGCGCAGGTGATCAGGGGGTCTTCAGGGGGCGGACGGACGGCGGGGTGGGGGTCGCGTTACGTTGACCTTGCGTGGCCCGTTGGCCCCGAGGTGTGTGGCTGCGACGCGTTCGGCATTGCAGCACGCGATGTCTACGCGGACACCTGCCGATCCGGTACACTTTCGCTTCCTTTGTTGGTGGGAGTTTGTTTACGCGTTTCGTGAAGTGAGCGCGTGTTAATTAACGTGGCAGCAACGCGGCTCGGGGTTTTTTGCGTGTGGGGCCTGTGTCGGGGAATCAAATCCGTCATCTGGGAAAGCACTCCCAGTGTGTTCACAGCGTCCGAGCATCTTTCGTCACGACGACGTGTTCCCGTGTAGCCGACAAATGCGGGCATTTCTGTTGCTGTTTGTTATTGCCGACCCATTGCACTGACTTTGCAAGTTCATGTAAAGAAATCAAACTCTTTTGTCGTTCTGTGCCCGGTTATTAAAGTGCTCGCCAAGTTCGGAACGTGGAGTTGCTGCTGCCCCGCTGTGTCGTGGTCACGTGTCGGGTTGGTGGCTCGTGTCGGACTCTGCTGCCCTCTGTGTTGTGGTCACGTGTCGCCCTCTGGTGGACATGAGATGAACTACACCAATGCCAGAAGAACGAACATACCCCCAAACGACAAGCCCCCCCCCCAACCGACAATCCCCTCCCCCAACCGACAAGCCCCCCCCTCAACCGACAAGCCCCCCCCCTCAACCGACAAGCCCCCCCCCAACCGACAAGCCCCCCCCAACAGGACAATCCCCTCCCCCAACCGACAAGCCCCCCCTCAACCGACAAGCCCCCCCCCTCAACCGACAAGCCCCCCCCCCCAACCGACAAGCCCCCCCCCAACAGACAATCCCCTCCCCCAACCGACAAGCCCCCCCTCAACCCACAAGCCCCCCCCCTCAACCGACAAGCCCCCCCCCAACCGACAAGCCCCCCCCCAACAGACAATCCCCTCCCCCAACCGACAAGCCCCCCCTCAACCGACAAGCCCCCCCCTCAACCGACAAGCCCCCCCCCAACCGACAAGCCCCCCCCTCAACCGACAAGCCCCCCCCCCCTCAACCGACAAGCCCCCCCCTCAACCGACAAGCCCCCCCTCAACCGACAAGCCCCCTCCCCCTCAACCGACAAGCTCCCCTCAACCAACAAGCCCCCCTCAACCGACAAGCCCCCCCTCAACCGACAAGCCCCCCTCAACCGACAAGCCCCCCCCCTCAACCGACAAGCCCCCCCTCAACCGACAAGCCCCCCTCAACCGACAAGCCCCCCCCCTCAACCGACAAGCCCCCCCCCTCAACCGACAAGCCCCCCCCCTCAACCGACAAGCCCCCCCCCTCAACCGACAAGCTCCCCTCCTAACCGACAAGCCCCCCCTCAACCGACAAGCCCCCCCCCCTCAACCGACAAGCCCCCCCCCCCTTGTCGTTCTGTGCCCGGTTATTAAAGTGCTCGCCAAGTTCGGAACGTGGAGTTGCTGCTGCCCCGCTGTGTCGTGGTCACGTGTCGGGTTGGTGGCTCGTGTCGGACTCTGCTGCCCTCTGTGTTGTGGTCACGTGTCGCCCTCTGGTGGACATGAGACGAACTACACCAATGCCAGAAGAACGACAAGCCCCCCCCCTCAACCGACAATCCCCTCCCCCAACCGACAAGCCCCCCCTCAACCGACAAGCCCCCCCCCCAACCGACAAGCCCCCCCAACCGACAATCCCCTCCCCCAACCGACAAGCCCACCCTCAACCGACAAGCCCCCCCTCAACCGACAATCCCCCCCCCCAACCGACAAGCCCCCCCCTCAACCGACAAGCCCCCCCCTCAACCGACAAGCCCCCCCTCAACCGACAAGCCCCCCCTCAACCGACAAGCCCCCTCCCCCTCAACCGACCAGCTCCCCTCAACCAACAAGCCCCCACCCCTCAACCGACAAGCCCCCCCTCAACCGACAAGCCCCCCCCTCAACCGACAAGCCCCCCCCTCAACCGACAAGCTCCCCTCCTAACCGACAAGCCCCCCCCTCAACCGACAAGTCCCCCCCCTCAACCGACAAGCCCCCCCCCCCTCAACTGACAAGCCCCCCCCCCCCTCAACCGACAAGCCCCCCCCCTCAACCGACAAGCCCCCCCCTCAACCGACAAGCTCCCCTCCTAACCGACAAGCCCCCTCCCCCTCAACCGACAAGCCCCCCCTCAACCGACAAGCCCCCCTCAACCGACAAGCCCCCCTCAACCAACAAGCCCCCCCCCTCAACCGACAAGCCCCCCCCTCAACCGACAAGCCCTCCCCCCTCAACCGACAAGCTCCCCTCCTAACCGACAAGCCCCCCCTCAACCGACAAGCCCCCCCTCAACCGACAAGCCCCCCTCAACCGACAAGCCCCCCCCCTCAACCGACAAGCTCCCCTCCTAACCGACAAGCCCCCCCTCAACCGACAAGCCCCCCCCTCACCCGACAAGCCCCCCTCAACCGACAAGCCCCCCCCTCAACCGACAAGCTCCCCCCTCACCCGACAAGCCCCTCCCCCAACCGACACGCCCCCCCTCAACCGACAAGCCCCCCCCCCTCAACCGACAAGCTCCCCCCCAACCGACAATCCCCTCCCCCAACCGACAAGCCCCCCCCTCAACCGACAAGCCCCCCTCAACCGACAAGCTCCCCCCCCAACCGACAAGCCCCTCCCTCAACCGACAAGCCCCCCGCCCCGACACATGGACATCCTCAACCCAAAGAAACCCACCACCAATGTCAGAGACCCCCCCCCCCCCCGTGTAGCCTGTGGATGTCGGAACACGGCACACGAGGAGGTGGGTGGCCAAGCACCATGCCCGGCCGCCTTTGTCTCCCCGGTGGCGATGTTTACACACCGTGCCAGGTACTCGTTTCAAGCCGAGTCGACCTGTGGGGGAGACAGACCCAGGAGCGGTTTTAGATATTCGTCCTCCGGTGTCAGATCCGAACTCGGATTCGTAGCTGGACGCACCGACCGCTCTACGACCTCACCCCACACGGCTCCGGCGCGTCCTCTGGGACCCCAAACCCCCATTGGAACGCACACAACAAGCCGACAACTCGAAATCCTACGGAAGCATTTCACGTTGAAGTCTACGGGAGCCTTTAACATTGAAGTCTATGGGAGTCTTTAACATTGGAGTCTATTGGAGCCTTTAACATTGAAGTCTATTGGAGCCTTTAACATTGAAGTCTATAGGAGTCTTTAACATTGAAGCCTACGGGAGCTTTTAACATTGAAGTCTATGGGAGTCTTTAACATTGGTGTCTATTGGAGCCTTTAACATTGAAGTCTATGGGAGTCTTTAACATTGAAGTCTACGGGAGCTTTTAACATTGAAGTCTATGGGAGTCTTTAACATTGGAGTCTATGGGAGCCTTTAACATTGAAGTCTATGGGAGTCTTTAACATTGAAGTCTACGGGAGCTTTTAACATTGAAGTCTATGGGAGTCTTTAACATTGGAGTCTATTGGAGCCTTTAACATTGAAGTCTATGGGAGCCTTTAACATTGAAGCCTATTTGAGCCTTTAACATTGAAGTCTATGGGAATCTTTAACATTGGAGTCTATTGAAGCCTTTAACATTAAAGTCTATTGGAGCCTTTAACATTGAAGTCTATTGGAGCCTTTAACATTGAAGTCTACGGGAGCCTTTAACATTGGAGTCTACGGGAGCCTTTAACATTGAAGTCTATTGGAGCCTTTAACATTGAAGTCTATGGGAGTCTTTAACATTAAAGTCTATTGGAGCCTTTATCAGAATCTGAATGTTTACACTGCAGGAATCCGATGAGCGATGCAAATCTTTCTCACAGATGTCCAGTAGGGTCGGCTTAGAGCGTTGCAACAACAGTTACAAAAAACACGACAGTAGTGCAAAGTAGAAGAAAGGTGAACACACCACCCAACAAACATTCAACTGAAACATCACCATCCCTGCCAGGCAACACCCACAGATTTAAATCATTCTTCAGAAGCGACATGGCCATCACAAATGATAGCTCAACAGTGTGGCTTATCAATTGGACATTTAGAGCAGCAAAATACTCGAATCACAATGCATGTTTATTAACGTGGAGGGGAAAAACCCGGAGAAAAAAAATTCACGCGACCACGGGGAGAGAGAGAGAGAGACACGCCAACTCCAAATATACAGCAGCAGCAGCAGGCGTCAGGGTCGAGATCCAACCCACGACCTCCTGTACACCAGGCGAGGTAGTTAACATCTAGCCACCGTGATGATGGTGAGAGAGAGACACGCAAACTCCAAATATACAGCAGGTGTCAGGGTAGGGATCGAACCCACGACCTGTATACCAGGCGAGGTAGTTAACATCTAGCCACCGTGATGATGATGAGAGAGAGAGAGAGACACGCAAACTCCAAATATACAGCAGGTGTATATGCACACCAGGCGAGGTAGTTAACATCTAGTCACAAAATAAAGTATATAAGTTCAAATAGCATAATCAATTCCCAAGATTCTGAAAGGTGCAGTCAAACAACAGCAAAAACAGTCCCAGACCACTTCAAGACAAGAACAGCCTCTGCATAAAATTGTACATTAACAAAAAAATGCACTCTTAATACTTCGTTAAGGATAAAATTCATAAATCACATTTGCAAACGTGGCTCTAGCCAGCACTAAATCTTCGGCATTTTAAAGAATACTTTTGATACTCTTTGGTTCTATTCGGTAAAGTCACGTAAAAAAAATTCACGACGTTTCGGCCACAACACAAGTGGCCTTCATCAGGTGAAAGGAGCAGACTGTCTAGAGGACAGCGCTTTTTATTTTTTTATTTGTTGTTGTTTTTTACGTGACTTTACCGAATTGGACCAAAGAGTATGGATCCTTGCAGTCACGAAAGCTTTAAATCTAGAATAGTTTTGATGGCAATAGAGGAAACGAGGTTGTTGTTCCAAAACGTTGGTGGTGTGCTGCAAACGGCAAAGGCTTTGTCATCGATTACAATTTTTGTTCTTGGGAAA